TTTGCCTTTTGGGGCTCACCTGTTTTATTTAAAACAGGTGCGAGATTCAGCACAACCCGCATGCGTAGCGGGGGCAAATCCTTTTGATCTTGATCTTCGATCATGGAAAGAACAGTTTGGGAGAACCTTGTGGGAACCACAGGGCCTTGGAAGAGCTGAGTGATTCCGAACAGCGAAAAAAAACATGGCTTCGCAACTGATCAAACGATTGATGGCAAACATTTTGTTACTGCTTTGGTTGGGACATGGGGTTTATATAATTTGGGAACTTGAGAACCCCATAGCCCACCCAAACACTAGACCATAGGCACAAAATCAGTTTGAATGGGGTCTGTGGTCCCATGAGCCAGGTCTGCCAAAGGAGCAAAACTTGGATGATGGCACTGCTGCACTTGCAGACGCCGTTGCAGATGGGGTTCCTAACTTAGATCACAGATGATTTACTGCAACTCTGTTGAGCTGGGCCCAATGAAAAGAGAATGGTGGTAGTATCCTTTTTGGGTCTTTAAAAAACAAAGATGTTTACACCTGTGAAATTCCCAAACATCTGATTGGGAACATTAACATGATGACATGAGTGCAAATTGGTCAACTTGTTCTCTTTCCCAATTCCATCTCCAAACAGCTGCCCAGGTACCATGTGTGACCGCGGAAGCCATCCGCCGGGGCTACGGGTCGGCCAGAGAAGCATCAAGGGCGGAAACAAATTCCAACTGGAAAAGAAATTGTTCAAGCACGTTGTGGCGAGGTTTTGACCGAAATCATGTTGGATTGAAAGTCCCGTTGAAGACCTACGACTACGTAACCAATTCTGGTGATGTTATCCCCATGACTTACATATGCCCGGTGGATTTGATGACTTCTTTGCTAGAAAACCACTTGGACCTGTTGGTGGGTGGCTTACAATGTCAAAAGGAAATAGCTGAAAACCTCCATGCCTTCTGGCAAGCTTTTCAGCTTTCGCATGGTGACCATGCAGTGTTCCAGGAGCATTGCGACAATCTGCAGTCAGTTATACCATTATGCTGGCATGGGGATGAAGGCAGAGGAAAGCGTCGAGGAAACACCTGCGTCGTCAGCCTTGAAGCAACTATAGGAGTTCAAACAGCTGTGAACAAACAACGCAAAAGGGATGGCCGTGGACACCAGTGTGAGTGCAACCCACCAGCTAGGCACACGCAGAAGTACAACCACGTTGACAAGAAGTTGAGCCGCAGCACGCTGTCTACTCTCAAGGACCAGTGGACGAACCAGAAGGGTTTGTCCTTCATGCAGCATTGGTGTCTCTTTGTGATACCTTCTTGGGTTCATGGCACATATCCACAGGTCCTCCCGGACTTGCTGGAATTGATGAGCCAGGGTTTGAAACAACTCTTCTTTGAAGGAATCACCTTGGGTCCCAGGCATGGACACAAGCATTTCTGCTTTGCTGTAGCTGCAGCTAAAGGCGATCTGAAGTGGTTTTGCAAGATGGCATTGGAAAGGAGCTTTCAAAATCAGGGCCGCGTCCGTGATCATCAATGTTGCCATGAATGCTTGGCTGGTGACCCGCAGTCAAACCTGACATGGGAAGACGTGTCAGAAAATCCAGTGTGGGCGCCCTCGAGATTTTCTCAACGGCCCTGGATGCGCATCCCACCAACAATTTCCATACCTTTTTGTCGAGGTGCTCCTGAGAAGATGTTCAAGCGCGACCCGTTCCATTGTGCGAAGCTTGGATCCTATCGGGACCATGCCGGTTCTTCAATCATTTGGCTCTGTGAAGCTGGCTATTACGGTGCTGGTGACATTCCGACCAAGCTGCAGGCGTGTCACCGGGTTTTCCAACTTTTCTGTTGCACGATTGGACAATCGCCAAGTCTGAGGAGCTTCTCTCGGAGCTTCTTCATGTACCCACGCAGTAGTGAGTATCCGTGGGTCAATGCCAAGGGTTCTGATGTGACCCTGCTTCTGAGATTCATATGTGTGCAATGTACTGGCTTTTTGAACGCCTTGCTGCATCCAACCCATGACCGATACATGATGTTGATTCGAGACACTTCTTCAGCAGGGATTAAGTTTTCTGCTGGGCTGCATGCCCATGGACTGGAATCAAAGAAATTGCTCAATGGTTTTGCATCAGCACCTCCGGAATTTCATTGTGGGCTACACAACGCTTGCTGCGTCCTGTTTGAATTCTGATTTCAATGGCTGGGCGATGAAACCAAAAATTCACCTTTTGAAACATGGAGAGCTTGAAATGCATGAGTGGCTCCGTGACGGGCACGAAATTCTATTGAACTTCAACATGCATGCTTGTGAACAGAACGAAGATTACGTGGGAAGAGTTTGCAGGCTCAGCAGACGGCTGGACAGCCGCCGAATTGGAGAAAGGGTTCTTCGGTGCTGTCTTATCAAGTCACGTTTGTCGTACAAGAGATTCCTCAAACAGAACAACCTGTGTGGTTCGGCTTGATGCGTGGGAAAAAACATTGAACTGAAGTCAGGTCCTGGGATGGAGAGGTACATTTCCCTGTTCCTTTCTGTTCCTTTCCGATCTTTTAACAACATGTTACATTGGTGTTGGGCCTATCTTCGACACTCAAGGAAACCATCTTTCATCATTGGCTAGGGATTATGTTCTTATGCCTCTGAAAGCGGCAAGGGCGCGGGCAAGTGCATCTCCCAGAATGCTTTCGAGCAATAATTTTCAAAGACAAACCCTTTCGATCAATAATTCCTGGAAACGACCAAAATTTGATGAAACGATGAAAATAACTTGAGTTTCAACTTCGAGCTGAAATTTTGCAGCCCCGGAGGTTCTAGGTATATATATATATATATATATTTTACGCTGTTGGTTTATATGTCAATGACTCCTGTGATTTTTTACTGACGTGCTCCTTATACTCTTACTGCTGTTGGTTTATATGTCAATGACTCCTGTGATTTATATGGACGTGGCAAGGGGCTAAGCCAAGAACCCCAATAAACAAACAATCTAATAAATTTGTTTCCTGTCTTTTTGCATGTTTCAGGATTCAGTTCCTGCCGGATCATATAATGATCCATTCTTGTCTAGTGTGATTCCTATGGTGACTCCGACATGGTGCCATGGGGCCAATTGAGGCAACCCCAGTTGGGGTCAATGTCGACTGACTTGAATTCCGAACTCACACATTTTAATTTAGTAATTCGTTTAAGTAAAGTGCAACAGCTGGCCTTGCGGTTATGCACCATTTTACGATGTCCCGCCGATCCTGCTGTTCCTTGAAAACCCTGGTGAAAAGTTGTCTTCTCTGAGTGAAGCCAATCGGAACAACCAGAAACTCCTTTTTTGTCACTGCTGCTTTTATACTTTTATTGCTGTTGGTTTATATGTCAATGACTCCTGTGATTTATACTGACGTGGCAAGGGGCTAAGCCAAGAACCCCAACAGAAGGCAACAGGCACATGCTTTCCAGGTGTGGTTTTTTCTCTTTTGATGGTTGTCTGGTGAGGTTAAACATGTTGTGCACCTAATTCGTTGGAACTTGAAAGCCGTTTTATGCCCTTGTGGCTGACTTGAACACGGGCCTGGATTGGCACAACGCACGACTTCTAGGTTTTAGGAGCTGAATACTGTTGTTTTACTAATTGTTTTGGTTTTCCTGTCTGTCATCAACTAGTCCCCCATTTGGTCCCTAATTTCCCCGCGTGCCTCTCCGTAATGTGTCGTGGGGTTTAGGTGTGTGCGCTGTTTTGGTTAGGTCCGTTTCGCCGTGTAGGTTGGTTCCGGAGGTCCGTCTGTTCCCCTCCCCCCCCGCGCTGTTTTTGGCCGTTTGCCCTTCGTGTGTCCGCTTTCTTCTTCCTCTTGCCTTTCAGGGTTGACCGGCTCTGGCCGGGTGTGTGTGTGTGTAACATCTAAATAGATGTAAAACTTCTTTTTTTTCTTCCTTCTGTCCTCTCCCTTTTTAAATCTAGTGAAAGGGTTTTAAATCTAGTGCAGGGGGATGAGGGTTCCCTTGGTGTGCCTCATCTAACAAAGACCGCACCAAGTGGACGTGATATCAGTGCCCGGCCAGCACTGACGTACCTGCACTCGTATATATAATTTTTTACGCTGTTGGTTTATATGTCAATGACTCCTGTGATTTTTTACTGACGTGCTCCTTATACTCTTACTGCTGTTGGTTTATATGTCAATGACTCCTGTGATTTATATGGACGTGGCAAGGGGCTAAGCCAAGAACCCCAATAAACAAACAATCTAATAAATTTGTTTCCTGTCTTTTTGCATGTTTCAGGATTCAGTTCCTGCCGGATCATATAATGATCCATTCTTGTCTAGTGTGTGCGTGTGCCAGAAATAGACCAGTGAATATAATATTATTAATATTATATATATATAATTATTATCATTTAAAATATGCTTATGCCCAACAATTACCATATAGCCTCCACCAAGCAAACACGGCAGTTGGCAATCCAAGGTGGTGCCCCATAGTTAGCTAACCTGGCTAACTGTAACTGAACATTTTAGAAGAGTTTCTGGATGTTTATGGCAAATATATCTATAGTGTTCTGAATACTAATTATTGTTATTTCGTTTAGTTCTCCCAACCATGCATGTCGGCCACTGCCACCGCTTTTCATCTGAAACCTTCATCCAAAGCCACGCTCTTTAAGCTGTGCCTGCAGAAACCTATCACTCTAGAAGCCGTGAGTCCCAAAATGCGACTGCCTGGCTGATAGGTTGTTGAAAACCAGTGAAAATCAACAGGTTGGACCAACCTACAAAAAAGAAATCCAAAAAGCAATCGCAAAATGGTTCCCTCCCCCTCCGATTTCAAAATCAAAGCTAAGAGGATGGTTAGTTTCTTGATGTCTCTTATGTTTTCTGCGGGTTTCCATGAACGGGGGTACCTCTAAATGGATGGTTGAAAAAAATCAGGGAAAATCCCAATCGAAAATGGATAACTGGGGGTACCCCATATGACTCAGGAAACCTCCATATCCACCATGGTGTAACCATCTTGGAGCTCCTCTGCGGCTTCGTCCTCGTCGCCTTCCAGAATTCGGGCCTCAGTGACACGAAGACAAGGGATGTGTCAGGCATGATCACAAGTTTTTTAATGAACAGATACGGGATTTAATGTGATTTAATGGGATTTCATGGGGATTTCATGGGATATATGATGGTTACCCTCTGGTAAACTAACATAACTATGGAAAAATACCATTTTCAATGGGTAAATCCAATGGTTATGTTCAATAGCTATTTTGACATAACCAAAGGGTAGAACATCTTGGAAAACATGCCAGAAACTACTGGAAAATCTCGGAAAACATCAGAACATATTGGGAAGATATCGGAAATAGCAAGTGTTTATAGGTAAATTGCTGCAAATTGTTCTGGAAATTGCCATGTATTCCATGGCTGGTCCTGGACTCCTTTGCCTCTCAATGACAAGTAGTTTTGGTTTGCCCGGACAGTGGAACCAAAAACTCCTGAGCTACAAGATGCATGAGCACACTGCATTGCAAAACCAAGAGCAGGGAGTGCAGCTGACTTAGGACTGCACTGATCGTACCCAAACCAAGTTTTCTTTATGGGAAAATTGTTTGGAAACGGATGTTGTTTCTTGGGTCTAGAACCCACCATCATCTACCATCCCCCTAACATATGGGACAATGTTAATGGCAATATTGATGTCACAGATGCGGCATAATGGACTCGCGTTTTTTCGTATCAACCTGGAAAGTTTATGGAACCCAATTTGAACCCATTTGAACTCCTTAAGTAGACAGCCGCCGGGTTACGTGCACACGTGGCTCATTGAGTCACGACTTGATGTAGTCATGTGATCAAAAATGTAGGGTCAACAGACAGGGGCGCCGATGGGCCTCTAACCCCATGGTTTTTCATCATGTTCATGAAAGACAAGACAATTTGGGGAATTCCCGTTTCCGAACAAGCTTTATTTTAAGGTCACGTAACGTCTACATAAGGGAATCGATCTCCCATTTCAGATACGGTTGCCGAATGGACCCATCCCCAACTAGAAACCCTGGGGATTGAGGCCCTCTTTGTGCATCGCGTTTGCAATAACGAAGAAACGAAGGCTGGGATGTAGCTAAAGCATGTGTGTACACGTATGTGCGTCTTTATATCCGCATCCATGATGTTTTTATATATATATGTGTGTGTGTAACTATATGACATAAGGCAAACAGAAACATGTATATATTGAAGAAATTCATACAATTCATAGCCTCGTCTTCCGTTTTGAAAACATGTTCCATGCACCCCAGCCACGCTGTCGAGCTACGTGGTCTTGATCTGACAAGCCCTTCATCATCCGTGCCATCATCAGAACCGAGGTTCGTACCCTCGGTGGGGTGGGGCAGGTAATTTCCAGATGCTGGTTTCTGCTGGGGTTGCATAGGGGTGTCAATTTTTTAGAAAGGCACATCACAAAGTCAAAGGAATACTTAGTGACTGTTTTCCATCAATGGATGTCCGAAATGGGGAAAAATGGCTATACCCAAAATATAACATGGAACCAATGGAACCTCAAAGACATGAAGTCTGGAAAGCTGATTTTCCCGCTGTCTGAAGTTTGCCTTTTTGGGCTCCATCTAGGGCCTGCAGGGGTAGGAGGTCACCCCATCAAATTTAATGGTCTAAAACCATAGGATTTTGGGGGCCTGCTATTATCAAACAAAATCGCATTGGTTGAGAATCTCTCTCTCTCTCTCTATCACCATCTCTTGGTTGAGAATTGAGACCTTACAATGATCATTGTTACTTTTCACTAGTACCGGGTCCACGTTCAACCCCAAACAAACCCTAATAAATCTCCATCTTCCAGCGCGCGCGGACAGACTTGCGAACCTGGCCGGTGTCGGGGAATAGGATGGGGTGGGGCCCAATGGATGAATTTCGTTGAAGCCAAATTGTAAGTGTTTTACTTCCCAAAATGTTTACCTATTTCGTTGATAAACCCGGCCTCTCAAAAAACATCATCCAATCGCACACCGAAGACTGGGATGATTCCTTTCAACCAGAAAATGTGTGGAGTCTTCCGTGCCCACTTTTGATTTTCAGTCCCATAGGTTGAAGGAAGGTAAAACAACCATTCAATTCCCTGTTACTTGAGCCTGCATCAAATTGCGCTGCTGAAATTACAATACTACGCGGGTATCTCCAAAAATGGTGTCTACGTCACGAAGTCACAATTTTATTGGGAACAATGATGATTCACCCACTGAGTAGGGATGGACAAATATTGTACGATCGGCGAAAGTGTCTGTACACTCAACTTCTAACGTTCAAAGATAAATATCGCCCTACTAGAATGAATGTCAATCAAAGCGGACACCCTACATGATAATCCTGTGGAATTGGACTTCAATTTCAACATGTTTCAAACATTTTCAAACACAGCCCTATCAATGATTCCTCATGTGATGGGCCATGTAGTTAACTGGTTACCGACTTGGCGCTTCACCCCAGTTAGCACTTAAATATACTTAAATGGGATATAAGTCCAGTTAAAGGTAGGGCAAGTAGGATTACCCTCTGGTAAACTAACATATAGCTATGGAAAATCACCATTGTTAATGGGAAAATCCACTATTTCTATGGTCATTTTCAATAGCTACGTTAAATTACCAGAGGGTAAGTACTAAGTATGGATTAGTTCGTTTATACATGTTATAATTTCGGTGAACCAACCCAGCAACAACCCCATCCGCAGACCTCGCCTCTTCGCGGGCGAGGTCCACCATCTCTTCACCACCCAAATCCTGCGGAAACCATCGATGGACCATGATCTGACCATGATCTTTACGATAATATGATCATCGATGGTTTCTATGTGTATATATATATGTGTGTGTATGTGTGTATATATGTATATGATGGATAATATGATGGTCATTATGGATAATATTATCATGATGGATATGGTTAATATGATAGTTATATACAGTATATATATATAATACATGGTGATGTATATCATGATGGATAATATTGTGATGGTTTCACATGGTTCTATAATTATATCTACAGGAACAACGGATTGGTGTCTATGGGAACATCTACACAGGAAAGCCATGGTTTTCACCATCAAATTGCTTGGGGTTTCCTGAAAATTGTGGCATCATCCCCGAAACCAGAACTCCTAGGATGATCCCCAAGCGACGAAGAACGTGGAACGGATGAATGGTATATAATTAATTCTGGTAATCCTGATAATCCTGGTCAATTCAATGCAAAAACACTACCCAAAAATGAACAAAGTCAGGCAACAACTATATGAACTATATCGTTGCAAAGTGTTGACATCTCTTCACATCAAGGCTGGGGTGAACCATGGTGAACCCTAGCATAGAACCTCCTAAAAGGCCATAGGTCATTGGAGGACCAGTGTGTCCTGTCTAGAAGCATCTGGGTATACGTTTCTTGACGCTACCAGGGCTGAAAGTTCGGTACCCGCCCACGGTGCACCATGAAATTGAGATTGAGCAACTGGGTTTCTGATACCATCTGGTAATTTGTTACATAGCCATGGAAAATCCACCCATTTTTAACAGGTAAACCATCTATTTCTATGGGCCATCTATACCATGGCTATGTTAAATAACCAGGCCGGGTACCTCGGTAATTTCGGACCAATCGGCCGCCATCTCCTGAAGGCCGGCCATGGTGGATTGCGCGCGCTTCATCTTGGACTGACCGAAACCTGACGTCGAGTCGTCATGATCAACGGACGGATGTCGTGGTGTCAGAAATGCGATGATTCAATGGACTGGTAAAAAAGGGAACATCTTCACCGGAAACCAGAGTTATTTTCCCATGAAATTCATGGGGCTTTCCTGTAATCTTTCCCTTAAACCAATCCATTGAATGTTGTATAACTACCTGTCGATCTATGAGTCTATCTACCTAATTATATAAACAATTATAAACATATATCTGTACCTCCATCTCTCTATTTGACTCTGTCAGTCTATCTCTCCATCCCTCTATACAACGGTCTGTCTGCCTATCTTTGCAATATATCTCATAGAATATATATGCCGTATCTAGCCTATCTATCTACTCAAAACAAATGAAACATATATCTATCTACCATTCAATTACTATTCCATCAGCCCTTGTATAACTTTGTTGTCTTCTTTTCCATATAGGGCTCATCATATTGTATACACCTTTACTGCTGTCCAGCTGGTCCAGCCCGGGCGATTCAAAGGGGGTAGAGCCAAAGATCCGCTAGAAAATCCTGGATTCTTCACATAGCATGAAAACCATTGGAAAATCACTGGATGTTCTTCACATATTTTCCTATTTTCCATACTCACTGAATTGGTTGAAGGATGTTGAAGGTAACCTTTGCAGAAAAGCCTTGGAACATCTCGAAGTCGCAAAAAACCTCCCAGCCAAGGCGCCATCCGGGAAGTCCCCATGAATTTCATCGATCCGCGACAAGGCCTGCGGAGGAAAACTGTCGATGTTTGAAAAAAAAAAAGAGATTTATCTGGAGGAAAACTCTGGTTGAAGTTTTTTTTGTTTACAATCTCTCTCTCTCTCTCTCTCTTGGTGTTGCTTCCATATATAAATCTTGGACAATCTTGAGGTTTCTTCCGATTTTTTGCGAGAACAATTCTGGGATGACGGATGATTGAGCCACCCATCTAGGTTCATCATCCCAAACATGTTCAACACATTTAAAACATATCAAGCAAATAATCCTCTCGAGCAGGGATGAAAAAGCGCAGAAGCATCAGAAGCCATGGGCGTGAGGCTACCAAGCACTCTGCCACTATTGAAGTACCCTTTGGTAAACTAACACACTGTAACTCTGAAAAATCATCATCTGATATACTCGTATAAATCAACTATTTCTATGGCCATTTTCAATAGCTATGTCAGTCATTACCAGAGGGTATGGCTTCAACTACACCAGGAAAAAACCATATGAGTCTGGCAAATTTTGGGTGAAATCCCATGGTTTATCACCAAGTTCTACATGAAATCTGCCACGAATTGGGGTGCCATGTATCCCCAAGACATGGCTCACTATAGCTTCACGCAGAAGCTTAACCGCTTAACCTACAGTATGCTTGATTTAACTGGAGTATATCCAGCAGATCCATGAAGAAATTCGGTTCTACTCTGGTGTTTACCCACCTAGCAGCCGTGCGTCCCAAGTAGGGGACACGATCCTGAAAACCGCAGGATGTCCCCCGTCCCAGCGCCAGCCTCGGTTGAAAACCATCCTGGCCAGCTTTTCAGCAACTTTCAGGGATGGCCAAGGGTCTGGATCAAAACAAAAAAAACATACCCTCTGGTAATTTGTTACAGTTTGCTATTGAAAATACCCCATTGAAATAGTTGATTTACTATTTCAAAAATGGTGTTCCATAGTTTTTTGTATGTTTACCAGGCCGGGTATGACATGTTCATCTCTACTTTGATGCTGACCTACTTGACAGGAGCATCAATCAGCCCATCTTAGGGCCAGCCCTCCTCAGCCCCGCTAGGTCCACACCCGCTAGGTCCCAGCCAGGCCGGATACTGTGACTGCCACTGGTTCTTTGCAAAAGCTATGTTATTCAGATGGATTCTGACTCTGGTACGTTGCCTGGAATTAAGTAACCAATGTATATGTATATAAATACGCAGATGCAACTAAGTATAATATTATTTAATGTGCATGTATATATATATATATATGCATGTCATCACATGTCATCATTGAACCGTGAATATATGATCATACATCATCGTATGTCATCATATGTCATCACTAAAATCATCTATTCAGAATCCGTCATATAAATCACATCAATCAAGCATAATTTAAATCTTAATATATACTTATATGAGGGATTATATGGCCTATAATATACCTTTGAGTTAATATATGTTAATAATATCCAGAAGCATCACAGATAGCATCATCAACATTTATGGGTCCATCTTGTGGATCTGACTATGTTTATGGCCCAATCTCCAGTTGATTTGGATAAATATGATCAACAAATATGGGATCAACATTAAACACATTTAGCAACCCCAGCCCCAAAAAAGATAGAACAGTCAAATCCCTTCCAAATAGTAATAGAAAAGTCAAATCCACAGATAGAAAAGGCAAATCCAAAATAGAGATCATTAATAAATTAATACTTTGCTGTTCTATCTTGTTTGCAAGTACCCTCTGGTAATTTAACATAGCTATGGAAAATCACCATTTTTAATGGGGAAAATCCACTATAAATGGTCATTTTCCATAGCTTTTTGTATGTTTACCAGAGGGTATACATCAAATCTAACCACCATCCCCTTAAATCATCTCGATGAGTTCCTGTTCCACCCCCAAAGCCGCGCCGTCCTCCTAAAGACCTCTGATTCAACTCAACGGGGCTCTTTCTGAGGCTAGCCAGGACCTTCCCAAAGCTGAAGCGCTGGTCAGTTAAGGATCATGTTGGATCTGATGGCAAGCATGGTGTAAAACCCATAGGTTTTACGCCATGTTTACACCACTTACGAATTCTAAAGATAAGGGGTCTCTCCTTTTTCAACTCGTCCCGTCATCCAATCCGTGTGGAGATGTTCAATGGATGATTTCTAGATATTCTGCGGATCATTTGCGGGAACTTTCTACGACGTTGCAGGCTGGCCAAAGCCAAACAACGTACCCAACGGTGGGGATAATTACCCACTAATCAGCCCATGGCACAGACTGTATCGAATTGTCGAACTTGTGATATGTGTAGCGAAGCAGTGGATAATCATTCTCAATGTTGTCGAGCAATGGATTATATCTTTCTACATCGTTGCTTCCAAAATGTGTCAAAATGACATCAATCCATCCATTACCCTCTGGTAAAACTAACATAGCTGTAGAAAATCACAATTTTGAATATGTAGATCAACCACCCATGGGGTATTTTCAATAGCTACAGTATATTAAATTACCAAATTTAAAGGGTGTGTTCATTGATTTTCTACCCATGGGCCATGGCAAAATCTCAAGATCCTTCTCGCAGTGCCGCGCTGACGCGCCTCGTACCAGCCCCTGTCTCGGATCTCAGCGCGCTGGTTGTGACAGATTGGAGGGTTATACGATGTTATACGCCTGTGTCATGATCGACATGCGTATGAAAATACAGTAGGCTTATGATGACTTACCCTCTGGTAAACTAACATAACTATGGAAAATCACCATGTTTAATGGGAAAACTCACTATTTCTATGGCCATTTTCAATAGCTATGTTAAATTACCAGAGGGTATCCCAATTTCGAAATTCTGATTCTGAAGAAATCCGATCAATCAATAATTCATAGGGTCATTTTCAGGACCCCCCGAACGCTTCCCCCCAAATTCATTTCTCTCAAACATGCTTATTGAGCGCTATTTTTGGCCCTTTTTGTTGCTTGCCCTAAACAAATTTTGCGCTTAAATCTGCAGGAATCTTGAGGGATCTTCCCAACAAAATTTAGCACTCAAATGTATTTTGGGGCCAAACATAGAAGGGAAATGAAGGGAACGCATAAAATGGAAAACGCTATCCAGGTGATGTGGGTCACTGGAACAAACTGATTTTCGAGCATGCTCCTCTTGTGTTTGAAATCAAACGGATCGCTGGCCGTGGGTTGCTGATTCTGGAGCGAAGTTGGACTTGAGCATACTTAAGCCTCATTTTTCTACAATTTAAGACCCAAATAATGCTCAATGCCAAAAATCACCGAGTGCTATTTTTAAGTCTTATTTGGTGCTTATAAGCCTCACTGTGGCCCGAATGTGTCCAACCATTTGATCGCTATTCTTGCGAAATTCTCTGAGCATTATATAGGCCTAAATAAGGCCCGTTTTGAGCCTAAATAAAGATCAAATAAGGTTTTTTTGGTGCATTTTGACCTTATTGAGCCTTATTTCTTCTTATTTCTTGGTTCTGCCATTGATGTGACAGTCACATTCCACTGCCAGAATAAGACTCAGACATGAGCATGCATTTGGGGGGTTTTCCTTGGGGGGACATGGCCGCAAAGCTATGAATAATCTAATCCCATGATTCATCTGATGAATCTGATATCTCAATATAAATCATGGAATACATTGCCGATGTTTGGGACTGTTTCACACCAGATTTTCACACCAGCCTTGGCCGAAAATCGGGGCCAAGAAACCGGCCACACGGGATTCAATGGGAAGCAGTAGCCTTCCTTGGCTCTGGCCTCACAGAAGAGGCGGATGTCCGATCTGAGAAGGGAACATATGGAGGTTTCCTGAGGGGATCCCCCAAATCATTCATTTTCATGCGGGATTTTCTATGAAATTAAACCATCCAGCTATTGGATGATATTGGATGCTATTGGGGTACCCCCATGACTTTGGTTTGCCGTGCTTTTTGCTTTTGCCCCTGGAAGATTTGAACAGCTGGGAACTGCCAACTGGGAACTGGAACCCCATTTTTCACTAGATCCGATCCGTCGTCTCCCTCCCTAGAGGTCCCTAGAGGTCCCTGGTAGTTATCACCCCACCTTTCCCGCGCCTTCAGAAAGCTTCGAAGGTCGGGCTCCTTTAAAATCTTCCAGGGAGGATCCTCAACGGCGTAGCGGCGAAAGCCAAGAGGCCAAGATCCTCAACTTCTCCAAGATCCCTGCATTTTCCCATCATTTTCCCATGTTGTGGATGATGTGTCCATATTTTGTAAGACGATGTCAGCAATTGACTGGATGTTTTCTTCTTCATCAATGTTCTCATTTCTTTCCTGATTGTTTCAAACTGTTTTTGGCTGATCCACCTTGTGGGAATGATTATATGATGCCTTGGGATGCAGAAAAAAACATGTTGTGAGTCGGTGAGTAACTTTTAGGATCGAAGAATACCAAACAAACCAAAATGGTACGGAAGTCTTCCTGATGTTTCATACCAAAAGTGGGTGTCTAGCTCCTGTAAGCACCTTGCAAACTGTTTTTCCCAGCATCCATTAGTGGTTGCACAACCACTCAACGGTAAATTTTGGTTGCCCACTTGGAGCAAACTGAAAAAGTGGCATGGATCGGTTCCGCCGGGGGGCATCGTTAAAGTCGTATGGAACACGGTAACCCCAAACTGACCAGTTCCAACCGGCCCACAATCCCATGGTCACCATGGACCATCGTCATTTTCTGCATAAACATTGCCTGGGGGTGTCCCTCAAGCAAAACATCCAAATATCATGTTTCTTACCCATATTCCAATATATCCCAGTATATCCTCAACCACCCCTAATTGCTGGCCAAATCTCTTGATACCGTTGGTCAAGTCCCTGTTTTTGTGGTCATTGTGGTGGCTAATTGGTCAAAATGCATATATATATATATGTGTGTATTATTATTTTTATTATTATTGTTGTTATTATTATTCTTATTTATTTATTTATTTATTATTATATATATACATACATACATATATATATATCCCATTTATAGCTGGTTTTGGGGTTACTCTCTACACATTAAACTCTGGCCACTAGCAGACTGGGGCACAGGGTAGCCATCCCACACCACCATGAACTCGTCGTCCAGCTCCTGCCAGTCATCCCCCAAAGAAGGACATGGAACATGCCTCTCCTTCACAATAATTGTGTCCACAGTAGCTATAACCCATAGGATCCATGTATGCTATATATGGCAACATTTCCATCAATATACCCCCAATGTTAGCATATATACCAGACATGGATCCTATGGGTAATGGTAACAATAATTATCATTCTATATTAATATATAATCATGATGAAATAGTAATTTATCGTAATTATTATATACAACTTACAATTATAATGATAACAACATAAATAATGATATATTGATAGTGACAATGACAAAGAAACCACCTGCCATTTTGGGAAGGATTCAACCAGTCATTTCTGGGATTCACTGGGTTCATTTTACGACCTGCAGTCCTAGCTGGAACAACTAGAAATAGAAAGTGGTTGGTGGTATACCTACCCATTTTGGATGGATGGATGGAAATATAAAATATACCGAAGACAAGGATGAAGACAAGGAGAAGACCTATAACTACGGCAAATCCCTTGTAATTGTTGAATAATTCCCAACTACTTTACCATTCAAACCTGGTTGGTGGTTGAGCCCAACCCCTCTGAAAAATGATGGAGTGAGTTCGTCAGTTGGGATGATGAAACGATGAAACTACTTAATGGAAAGTCATAGAATTCCATGGTTCCAACCATCAACCAGGATTCATATGGCGGCGTTCCGAACAACTATTTCTGACGCAGGGAATCCTCAATTCATGCAACAGGCATTTGCTTCCGTTTGTTTGTTGATGACTTTACCATAATCGGTACCCGCAACTGAATCAAATAACACCATTGGGAAACAAAAAGAAGCTGGGACCTGAGGCGGTGTCTAAGCTTTACATACTTTTTCTTCCCCAGAAATCCTAAAAATAGATCACCAAAACATCCGCGACTTCGCCATGGGCCGTTGGGCCCGCCGTTTTAGGGAACTGCATCGGATGCATCGCTCCGCCGTACCGGACGCCTGGGGGAAGTAGAAGTTGAAGCACTCGGCACCGTGGCGAATGGCGCCACAGGATTCAGTGACCTTCACCACCTGGAAAACCAGTTTCGTGGTGAAACACACCATGGTGACGACTGGGGATTTTCCGAAGCTGTTTTTTTGGGGGAAACACACACACAATGGGTCAATGGGTGTATGATTCTGTATGATGTTGCATGATCTATTCTTCAGGAATAGCATATGACTTAAGGGCCTTAAGGGTAATATCTTCACCTGGCAGCGGGACCAGACTCACTGCTGTTTTAACCCCACTACCCGTTGGTACCAAGCAGTTATTTACCAGGATGATCCCCCAAGTGTTAACAGAAGATATTCATCTCTATCAAATGTCTGGTGCATTATAATTGCCATCTGGTAATTTCACGTAGCGATTGGAAATTGCCATAGAAACAGTTTATTTACCTATATGAAACATGGTGATGTTCCATAGCTATGTTAATTGACCAGAGGGTATCGGTATATTATAAAAATATAGCTATGATATAAATGAAATTCTCAAATTCAACGAAATTCACTGATGAATCTGAAAATTGCTGAAGTAAGTCCAGCTATATGCGACCGATTCCCCGAATCATAAGCATCATGACGTCGCGACGTGTGAGTCACTAATCTGAGAAACTTGCGAAAATTGCGGCCAGAATATTTCGTCCATCACCATCTTAAATAATTCATTTGTTGGTTATAAATTATATTCTAATTGGTGGTTTCAACCCCCCTGAAAAATATTAGTCAGATTGGATAATCATCCCAACTATTGGGGAAAATTAAAAATGTTCCAAATCACCAACCAGTATTAGTTTTATAGTTAATATATGCCATGATATCCCAATGATCCTCCCGTTTCCCGAGTCAATGGGGATACCCCCACATCATCCAAGTCATGGATGACCATGACTTAGTGTGGCTTGGGGACCCCATGACTTAAGCGAAAGCACCAAATCACTATAACACCCTATATAATTTCCAATGACATTCCCATGAAATCCCTATAAATCCCTATTTATTCCTATAAATCCCATGAAGTCCCTATAAATCCTTATTATATCTGGTTGGTGGTTTCAACCATCTTGAAAAATATGAAAGTCAATGGGAAGGATGACATCCCATATATTATGGAAACTAAAAAATGTGTGAAACCACCAATCAGCCATTCATATTCCATTACCAGAGGGTTAATCACCATTAAATCACCATTAAATCACCATTGAATCACCATTAAGATCCTATTACCCTCTGGTAAACTAACATAACTATGGAAAATCACCATTTTTAATGGGTAAATCCACTATTTCAATGGCCATTTTCAATAGCTATGTTAGTTTACTAGAGGGTAAATCATTCTATACTCATTGTATCCCTATATCCCCATTAACCAGTTGATCTAAATTCCCTAGGGAATATGGTGACACCTCACAGATCCGATCAATCCATCGGCGAATCTCCAAGGGACATCCCCAATGAGCTTCACGCTCGTGGGGTCGCCGAAGCCCAGCTTCGGGATCTCCACCGTCTTGCCTGGACCACCGGGACCACTGGGACCACTGGGACGGGGCCACAACGGGCCTGGTAAACGTTTACAGTTTGCATAGTTTGCTGTGGAAAATCAACATTTTTGATAGGGAAATCAACGATTTCTATGGGCCATTTTCAATAGCTACGTTAAATTAGCGGAGAGTGTATACATATATATACATAATATATATATATATATGCATGCATGTATGAATGTATGTATATACTATGTAGGCTCCATTGGGTACACACCTGTCGGGTCCACCTGTGAATGAGCATAGAATGCATTTCAGGTAACTGAATCAGAACTAAGTCCTGAATGTCCCGATGAGCAGTGGATCGAAATCATATTCTGATATATGAATATGTCCTTCTATTGCAAATATCATCATGATTCATCATGTATCTGTGACGTGGGTCTAAGCGAGCCAAAACGTAGGCCTAAGCGAGGAAAACGTAGGCCTAAGCGAGGTACTGACCATGCGATATCATTTTGATCACCTTTGAAAACCAGGGGCTGGGCAATTCTGGGGTTGATCATCCCCCAAATTCACGTAGACCCAGATCCATTTGGCAGGGTCTATGTCAACTGGGGGGATGGTAAGTGAGCTTTGAATGACAATCTTCTTGGGGTTGTTGGGGGGTTCCCATAGGCTGCTTGGTGATCCAGGTCCACCTTGAACATCACTCAACCCATGAGATCAAAAAACAGCAATCCCCATGATCCTGGGCCTTGAATTTGGATATGGCCTCCAGTAACCCAAGTGGAATATCGTTTCCACCATTAATGTGGGTAAAGCAATGTCATAAACCACCCATTTGGGAATGGTTTAATTATACATGTTTATACCAACTATTTATGGTGAACTTGGGGATGGTTTATTGTTGTTATACCCACCATTATAACATGATTGTCTACATGTCTTTTCCCCGAGTAACACAGAGATTTCCCGGCTTTAGCATCTGGATAACCGGCTAGGATATGTTATGTCAGGCAATGTCGAGCCCATGGCGCCCATGGTTGAAAGGTCGCATAGTTCATTAGTCATAGCCAGGTAGAACAGTAAATCCCCAGAAATAGTGTGACGATTCACTGAAATTAGCATCTTTTTTGGACATATTTCCAACTGTTTATGGCACCAGGGTGTCTTATCTTTTAAGCTTAGCCCATCCATGGCAACCGCGCCTTTCATGCTGGCTTCATCTTTGAGCACCTGGCAGAAATCCATAGGAAAACAACACATGCAAATCATGGGAAAGCAATGGCATAGTGGAAACATGGAATACTTAAAAAAAACACACGCACGTATATATATATGTGTGTGTGTGTGTAGAACCCATACATATATACAATATAACTATAAATATATATATATATTATATATATAAAAAACCCAAATGTAAATAATTATGATATGATGGAGCAATGTGTAATCATCAGAGTTTGAGATGGCCTTCTTGTCGGCCCCGTGGAGTCCTGAAAGATGCTGAAACTCTCCTAACACAAATGGCTGGTTGGTGGTTTCAACCAACCCCTCTGAAAAATATGGTGATTAATGATGATTAATGGTGGTTAATGGTGGTTAATGATGATGAATTAATTATCTTGTTGGTGGTTGAGTATACCTATCCCTCTGACTTTTTTTCTTCGTCAGTTGGGATGATAAAATTCCCAATATGATGGGAAAGTCATTCAAAATTCCATGGATCCAGTCACCACCAACCAGCTATTATCCTCTACTAGCATCACTCAACATTCCTAGGAACCACACATTTTTGGGGCGTTTGTCACATATCTCTGCGCAACGATTTCAGGACTTCGATATCTTCGATCCCCCGCCATGACCCCGCCTCCAACCACCTGGTGGTCCAGCTCTTCCGTTGAGGCATTCCGATGATGTCCGCCGTGTGGTCGAGACACCACTGCATCAACTCCTGGAGGACCGGATATGGGTGCCGCTGAGAAACCATTTACTCTTAGTGGCTTCAAGGAAAAATGAATACATAGATACATAAATCAACGAATATAAAATTATTGTATATATAGATAGATATATTTGGTGTATGTATATGTATATAAGTATGTATATATATATATATATATCGAATACGTATACATATATTTGGGTGGGATTATTTGGGTATAAAATCACCATGGTTTCAACCATCCAAATCCTAACTTGGGAACGGACTGAAGTGACAAATTTCATGGTAACGCTCTTGACATTAACAAAGTGAGTGGACATCATAACCAAGATATGGTCAAAAAAACAATACATATCTTTAACTACGACTATACTACGAATACGTGACCATCAAAAATCCGCCCAATTCCATCCACAAGCAGGATCAAATATTGTAGCCGAAGCAACAAATAAAGTACTCATTGAAGGTTAGCACGTCATGAGTAATGCAACCAGTTTTGATCTGAAAAAGGGTCTCACCCCCCAAAAATATCCAGTGGTCTCAGGATGCTTTACCCAAAGGTCCTGCTGATCCTTGGGTAAAGGGCTGTACTCCATCCCCATGCTACCCACCAGAAAGGTATCAAAGTCACTCACGACCTCGGAAAAGTGTGCAGTGCAGCAGTTCCTATCATCTGGGACACTTTCTTCCTAGCTCCAACTGGCTCCCTATATATAATTAGGGGATACATGTATATATATATATATTTATGTATATATATATATATACACACATGGATACCCCAGCTCCAACACATCGGATAGTCGTCTTTCAAGGCCAAGACACTGGAAGAACGTGGGCTTCAGCATAAGCCACTAAGAGGCCCAAAGGATTCATGGGATCTGCGAGGTCATACTGATACAACACCACCTCCTGAGAACAAAAACAGCGTTCACCGTTCACCATTTTTGATGGCAAATCCTCATGACATCAATATATTCCCATCCAATCCCATCCTAATTCATGTCAATAAATAGAAACAAGTCCAGATTCGCAGAGTGAAGGGATTCTCGTGATGAAAACATCGACGGTCTGAGGTGTGGAAACTTCATCACGACCATCTCATGAGATTGGTTTTTGACCGGAAATCTTCAGCGGAACCCCCTATGGTTCATGGTAAACAAAACATGGTTTCCGGTAAAGATGTTCCCTTAAACTAACCCAGTGCTTATCAGAATCTTAAACTCGGGAAAAACATGGCATATGCGGCCAACAGCATGTAACCAGCTACATATAGACATCACTGGACATGTAAACCCGCTAAAAAAAAAAACAACTGTGGACATGTCCTACTCAACAATTGACACTTTCATATGTTCCCATAGTTTTCCCCATGGAACAGCAGTTTCAATCAAGCTGCAGGGGTTGAAGACCCCCTGGTGGAATGCAAATTCATGTCCTGGGCTCCAGGATGCCGCGTGAAAGCGTCAAGGCCAGGCCATGCGAGGTATACCCTCTGGTACCCTCTGGTTATGTCAAAATAGCTATTGAAAATGGCCATTTGTAATTTATAGTGAGTTTTCCCAGTAAAAGTGGTGATTTTCCATAGCTATGTTAAATTACCAGAGGTTATTTTTCAGACTTTGACCCTGAAAATGATCGATTTTGAGTGGAAAGTCTGAAACAAATCCGGTGACTGCCAGGATCTGTAATTAATTTACTGGATCTGGAGGGTAAATCATTGAACTGGATGTGATATGGCTTCTCATAGTGTTACCCAAAAAAATCGAAAGTTGCTGATTTGGAGTGTGGAATCCTGGCATTTATGATCGTGAAAACATCATTTCCAGCAGAATCCCGAGTTTTGCTTGTGATATCCCCATGATTGATGGCAATATATGGCAATCATAAATCTGAAAAAAGTAAATCATGGGAATTACCATCTGGTTATTTAACATAGCCATGGAAAATCCCTTATAAATGGATATAAATGGAGGTTTTAATGGGAAAATCATCTATAAATGGGCCATTTTCCATGGCTATGTTAAATAACCAGAGGGTACATGGGAATTACGTAGATTTTGCCGGGTCTAACCCTCATTTTTCTGGCTGCCATGATCTACAAGCCATTCGGGGGGATTCCCTGCATCCGAATCCCATTCAGTGACGTCACGGTGAGGTCATGATCAAATTCATCCAGATGAAGTCATTGAGTCATATTAAGTCCCATTATGTTAGATAGGTAGATAGATAGGTAGATAGATAGATGGATAGATATACCCGTTATATCCCCATGATCAATGTCTCCAGGTCTATAGTTTATTGGTTTATCCCCATTATATCCCCATTTATAGTGTAAATCCCGTTCAGCAACCAAGGTGCCATGAAGGCCGGTTCAGATTGGCGCCCTGTCTCCCAACCTTCAACCAAACAAACGGCTTGGGTTGCATTAGAATTAATATATATATATGTGTGTGTGTAATATATTCTGAAATATGTGAAATTCAAAGATTGATGTAAATATGTTGCGTTTGTTCCTTTTCTCAATAGCATATAGTAATACACACATATAATATTGCTATAGATATTGATTTTTTAGATTGTTCTGGAGGAAATGGTGACAAAATGTGACAAACAAACAGCAGGAAAGGGGGGTGGATCCTTCAGCACATGCCTTCACAGTGACCCACTTGATGTGTCCCTAATACTATCTCTCTCTCCATCCATGTTCATCCATTTTCCCTATGAAATTGCAATCTTTTGGGGCGAAAATACCATATTTTCAAACCACAGCCTCATCCTCCAAAGCCTTCCTCCAAGGGCCCGAACCAACCATGGGGGACAGCTCGGGTCTCATGATGTATGCCTCCTTCATCAAAGGCTCAGGGACCTCAAAGCTGTGAGCCCCCTTAAACCGTTCCAGTTAACCTCTGGATTCACAGCTCTTTCGTATGAACAGATGTGTCAAACAGCTTTTCTGATAGCATTTGATATTCTGACATGTGGATTTGTTGCATGATTTTTTTTCCCGTCTGAGATCATCTGGATATGAACGAGTACCACAAAAAAAGTCAGATCCGGTCATCATTCGCTGGCTCCATCATGCAAAATCACCAGCTGATGGTCACCCCTTGAGACAAAACAGGTCATTGGGGATCACTAATATATATATATATATATTATATCATTTTTTGTAAAAAAATGGACAAAGAGGAAAGCAAACAAATCTGATAGCACCAGTCAGGTATGGTTTGAGTTCTCGGATTCCACAATTGTTCGCGCCTGAATCCCTATATATTGTCATGTTTCAAATCCTTGATCTAAACACCATTGCGCTTCAAGTCACAAATTGATTCCGCCGAGGGGCATCCAAGCCGAAGCTTTGCGGTTCCTGAGCTATTTGGACCCTTGAGATCCCTTGAGTGCTAGTGCAAAATTGCAATGACATGATACCCTCTGGTAATTTAACATAGCTATTGAAAATGACCATTTATAGTGGATTTACCCATTGAAAATGGTGATTTTCCATAGTTATGGTAGTTTACCAGAGGGTACTGATACCAGCAAACAAAAACTTTTGGCGTCATGATCACAGTGTGGCTTCCATGTTTGATCGCTACCTGGAGGGATAAATCGTCCAAATCAGCCAGTCAATGTCCTATGCCTGTGGTAAAACAAACAAAAACCCAAGAGCATATGTTTTGGAAAAATAATTTCCAAATGGATCTTATTGTATAACTAGGAACGAAAATGACATGAGAACGTGTCAAACATGTATGGTGAATACTCAAAAACAGTACAAAAATGACCTCAAAAACCCACTGGTGATTTTTCATGTAGCTATGGAAAATCGATGGAAAATCCACCATGATTCAGTAGGTAAACCATCCATAGATGGACGATGATCCTGCGGTATCCTGTGGTATAGATCGCCCTTCCATATCTGTCCATCAATGGATGTCTTATGATGTGTTCAGATCATTTCATGTTATCATTGCAAATCTTACCCTCTGATAAACCAACATAACTATGGAAAATCACCATGTTTAATGGGTAAATCAACTGTAAATGGCCATTTTAGATACCTTGTTTTTTTTGTGCCTATTCATCCGGTCGCTTTCCACCCTCCATTAGTTTGGAGTTCACCCCACTGTCCCCCAGCACTGCAACGCAAGGCTCGTAATCTGCGATGATTTTGATGGTTGGATCATCGATCTTTAGGGACGCCTCCAGGGGTTCGAAAGCCAGGGGAAAGCCAAAAAAGTTCACCATGACTGGGGAACTGTCGGATTTTTCTTGCGGTATCAATAGCGCTTGATGAAAGATGTAAAGCTTCGATTTTTGGGGCCCTGTCTGGTTCCATTTCTTGAAACCCTATCCCCCATCTGATTATTCGTCGGAAGGACATCACCAGCCCATGTCGACTGATCATCCCACTTATCCCAGTCATGAGCCTCTCTGAAATCGAGAGGAATTATCAACCCTTGCTGATATGATGGAGCCTTTTTTTTAATATATATATATAATATGATTAATATGTTATAGATATATTGATGTCCTATAATATCACATCTTGAATCATGGATTGATATCTATAGATGATTTTTGGAAGGTCATGTGTCATTTTTCCCATTTTTTCTTTGAACAAAACTCTCAACCCGTTGAGGAAACCCCCAGCCCGGGCAGCCCACGTCCACGCCAGTCCTCCTTCAGAACTTTGTCCAAGGATTTCGAGGCCTGTTCTCGCGCCAACCGATTCCTGTGGTGACCAGAAGAAATTGTTGGTTATATTTTTTTTTATATCATGGTGATATATCATGACACTCTATGGATGGTTTACCTACTGAATGGATGGTTTACACTCCGGACCCTCTGGAAATGAAACATGGCAATCGAAAAGTCCCCTTATTTATACTGGTTGGTGGTGCAATAACCATCTTGAAAAATATGAAAGTCAATGGGAAGGATTGTCCCATGTATTATGGAAAATAAAATGTTTGAAACCACCAACCAGTTTATTTTGCTTCCATATCCCTTGAAGTGATGTATCATGACCATAAAGATTCCGGAAGCTCAACCCATTCATCATTCATCATCATTCCATGGTCATACGTTGCCCATACTGACATACGAACGCATCTACCAATATTTACCACGGGTTAAACTCACCCCACGGTGCGACGATTCGGCTCCTAAAAAAGATCTTAGTCCGCGCATCCTTAGGAGACTCCTGGCTGGGTACCAAATACGGCAGAAAACCGCATTTGCAGCAAAAAAACATAACTTAACATATTTCAGGTGGATGAGTACTCTGCATTCTTCAGTGTCTCTCCTTGATTTCTAGGTAACACGGTAAAACATGGTACAACCATACTATTCATCCAAGGGAGAAATCCATTTCTCCATGGGCCCTTCGCAAAAAAAATCTGGTTATCACCCGGCACTTTCGCAATTCGGGATCAAGGACCATGTCACACACTGATGGAACCAGTGGAACCGGCTTGCAGCGGACATGTTTTCTACAAATTACAAATGGATAGAACATGGATAGAAATGGTATGTAATCTATGTACATTGTTGGCCCGCTTTATGTTTCCAGTCTCATTAAAAAGGAAAAAAACAACTTTGTCCGACACCAGCGGCTGCTATAGGGTGCCTCCACATCGTTCTTGTGCTTGTTGTCACCTCGATGGTCCATTGGCTGGGGGTGTTTTTGTTTTTGATCAAAATCTGCAAGCCTTGCTCGTATAGTTTCAAGCCATCCTTCCAATAAATTCTATCCAACTGCTCATCATTTCTGCACTCTATGTGAGACTGTAATCGCAGATGGAGGAGGAAAAAATGATCGAACATGACACTATTTCCCAACAAACTCATTGCAACCTGCGGTTGGGACAAGAAAACGCAACCACAAAAAAGTACGAACCAATCCTTGGGACTCCCCTTCCACCCATCTCCCATCATATACCCTCCGGTGTCATCAAACATAGCACTTGAACATCCCCAATGGCCTAGCCATTGGACGTTGTGGTAAAATATGGTAAAAGCCAGGCAATAAACGATGGTAATTTAACATAGCTATTGAAAATCACCATTTTCAATGGGTAAATCCACTATAAATGGCCATTTTCAATAGCTATGTTAAAAGCCAGGAACTAAACGATGGATATTCCATGGATTTTCCAGCAAGCCATAGAGCTGATCTGGATGAAGGGCACGAAGCCGGAGAGTCGGTTCTTCTTGGCCGACCTGTGCAGCAGGGCAGGCAGAAAGGGGCTATCTGGGATAGGGAAAATGTCATACGCTTAGGGAATCAATGAAAATGGCGATGGAGATAGAATCATCATATATAATCCCCAAATTTGGGAATGACATTGAATGACACTTCATGACAATTCCATGCTGATAGCACCGAGCAAATGTTTCGAAGTCAGATCGCCGTATTCCTAGAATCCTAGACCTGGTCTGTACAACTGAGGTCCTGAATGGGCTGTTCACCATTCAAAATGTTCTTTTCTGAGGTTGGGCTACCCCACCCCCAAATCCCTCGAAAACTAGGAATGTCATTGCGGCTCCCCACCCCAAATAAGATCTTATGCATATCCTCCAGTAACATGGCAATGGAGAATCCATCACTTATAGCCGATTTTCCCATCAAAACCTCTATTTAATTATAGGGGATTTTCAAGTGCTATGTTTGATTGTTGGATGGTAAACACGATTCAAATCCCGTAGTCCGAACCACCGATTTTCTCCAGTTTCGCTCTTGGGGCTCCGGACTTTCCTTTCACATTCAGGCCCTTGCCTACCCCGACCTGGCCAACATGAAGCTGAAACGGTTCTCTTCGGAAATGTCAACGGCTAGATACCTAGCAATTTCTTCATAAAGCAATGTCACAACCCACATTTCGATACATTTTGATAACCCATGACAATGGTGCTGGGGATGGTGGATCCTATTGCTTTATATAGCTGACATACGTATAGATCATCAACTAATTATGGCAAACGCTGAACCGCAACTGCCTTTCCATACATCTTGCGGATGGAGTCTGAGCTGCAGGGGCGATACACCGCAAACCACCTGCCCAGCAACATGTGGAGGTTGATTCGAATGGATGGCGAAATGATGGCAAAAAATATGGCGCTAAAGTCGGAATCCGTAGATTTGAGTAATTTTGGGAACACATCTGATCCAACATGTAAATGGGTCAAAATATTGACGGCCCCAAAATGTAAGCTTGAATGGCGTTTTTGTTGTGAAACGAGCATCATCACATAATACTCATTAATACCAGGTACGATCTAAGATGTATACAAACGCAAGTGAAGCCTGCTACTTGTGGATGGAAGAAATCCTGCACAAGTTAATAGGTGGTTTATCCCATTATTTATAGGCTTTCTACCATCCCAGGTGGTGCAGGATTTCTTCCATCCACAGTATGAAGCATCATGAAAGCATCATGATGTTCACATGATTCATCAGGTCCTGACAGGTTTTCACCATGTTTTCATGGATGATCCAAGCAGCATTCGCAGCACAAAAAGTGGATCCCCACCTGGTTGGGTTAAACGGATTCGGCTCTTCTCCCCCAAGGCTTCCTTTGGGTCCTCGCGTATCCTCAGGTCGTGGCATGGGGATCCAATCTGCTTGGTGGTTTTAACATGTTTTGACATGTTTTAACCATCTTGAAAAATATGAGTGAAAGTCAATGGGAAGGATGACATACCATATATTATTCCCAATGTATGGAAAAAATGTTCGAAAATGTTCCAAACCACCAACCAGCAGATGATGCACAAAACCAAAGCAGCAATGGTGTTGATTGGTGTTTAGACACACAAGTGGCTTCACCTTGATGGCTTGGTCAGGTTTGGTCAGGGCTCGGTTGACGGGTTCTTTAACATAGCGGAAGCCAGGGCCCATAGAAACAAAGGATACCCTCTGGTTACCTGGTTATTTAACATAGCCATGGAAAATGGCCCATTTATAGATGGTTGACCTATTAAAAATGGTGATTTTCCATGGCTATGTTAAATAACCAGAGGGTAAATATATAACGATGTAATTACCCGTGCAAAAATATTGTGATTTTCCATGGGAATTTGTTCAAAAACAACCAAAGGACTTACGAAGCAATTGCACCCAACCTCACGGCCATGGTTAGTTCCAGTGAGTGACATGGCTGGAAAATCTCTCATTATTCCCTCATTTATGCCAAGGATTTTTCCATTGAAACCTCCATTAAATTATACAGTAACACTGCAGTGGTAAACCCAATGACAAACCCATTTGGGCATGGGTTTTACTAACCATTTAATACATTGGGGATGGTTTATGGATGTTTGTGGCATTGGGTTTAGTTGCCACATGAGGGGATCTCCCATTGCCATGTTTAATTGCCAAGCGCTGCACGGCTTCCTCACCCCCCAAGCAATCTCAGCTTTCTCCCCGCCGTCGTTGTCGCTGTCGCGGCTGCTGGTTCTGCAGCTCACTCAGTTGGAAGCTCCCACTCGTCCTCGTCAATGGCCTAGCGGGAGTTGGAGAAGTTGAGGGCTAACCACCATCAAAATCCTAATCGCATAGAACAAAATCCATTTTTCTCACCAAAGGTTGCTCAACATTTGGATATATGTGGGTATAATGTCATGATATACCCTCCCGCTATTTAGTAATCAAACGTGGCAATGGACAAAAAATCCCAGTTACAAATGGTTTTTGAGTTTTTCCCCTTCAACCCCACATTCAGAAAGTAGGAGGTTCAATCCCGTTCATTGAATGTCATAGATGTTTTTTTTTCTCCCCTTTTAGCCAGCATTAAAATGTGGGATGTTCAATATATCCATCAATATCCATTCATCCAGATCCCGATCATATTCCATAGATCTGGTTGGTGGTTTCAACCCCTGAAAAATATTACACTTTGTTACACTTTGTTCCGGAGCCATAGGGCGGACGGACGACCCCATGACCCCACCTGTTTCGCGCTCTCAGCCGGTCTTAGCGGCAACTAAAGAGGCCAGTTCAGCTGGTGTGTTGACCTGCTTACCTAGTTGATCTAGTATCAACTGGTCCACACTGTCAAGTTGCCTTTGGCACCACCGCATTTTCAGGCACACCATCCAACGCCCGATAGCGGTGGAGTGTGGACGTGCCATCTTGGAAGGTATCACCAAATTGTTTCCTTTCTGGTAACTCCGTAGCATCCTCATAAAAAGTCCAGTTCGGGCTCCCCAAGTTGCTTGTGCCGCTGCCGGAACTTCAGATTCGATGCTATACCATCTCTTGCGCAGACACCAAGGACCTTGATGGCATGTATGCAAGTTGAAAGTGAAAAACAATTGTATTCCTGCAATGTAAACCAGTGGCTGTGTTCCCTGTAGCATTCGAAGGCCAACTTCTGTCCACCATGCATGAAGTTTACGAATGTTGGAATCTCCATAGCGCTGGACCAGCTTGGTGGGAATGACCCAGGCAACCGGTACAGGCGGCAGATCAACAATCGGTAAACCTGGTTGTTGAACCTCGTCTGCTGTTTGCTGACTGGAAACTGCCATCTTGGACGTTTGCAAAAGTACCCTCTGTATAGCCCAGTGCAACTGCCGGTGGAAATGTAGTGCACTGTGCAAACCACGCCAAACATCCCAGAAAACCTGGGGTCTCCTGACATTGATTGCTTCTGCAGCCTTGTCGGTAAGGTTATTGTGCCAATAGGCCCACTGTTCAATTGGATCACAAGCATTTTGCACCAAACAGTGTGAAACGACCTTCCTAACCTGAACCAGTGCCTCTGAACCATCCAGAACTTCACGCAGTTGCCACCACAAGTCTGAGTGCGGGACGTTGCGACGTAGAGGTTTCTTGTGTAGGAGTCTAAGCACCCCTCTCACCACACTCTGGCAATCACACCAGAGTCTGATTTGCTGTCTCCTCTTCACCGCCCATGTAACCACATGGACAATGGCGGTCAACTCCGCCCTGTAGGCCGTTTGACAAAGTCCTTGGACGTGCCCACCCATCAAAATTTGATTGTCCATGAGTCCGCAACCAGCAGCAACTGTGACAGCCCAGGCCGCAAACCGCAGCTTAACATCCTGAGGAAATGCCGCTGTTCCATCTGTAAAGACCTCCAGCAAGAAGGAGGAACCATTGCAGGGCGGGCTAACTGGTGACATCCTACAAAGTCCATCATCCTGAAGAAGCAGACCCGCAAACAATTCCCATTCAGGCAAGATGAGAGGCCATCCATGATCAACATAACAGGGAGGCAACCCAGGCAACACCGCAAGTTGAGCCGCTGTGAGGTGGGCACGGCAGGGAGCAAAGAAAGGACAAACCCAAGCTCTGTGGTGGAATCCATCTTGTGCCGGACACCAGGGGCATTTTGAGGTAACCCCAGGTTTGAACTTGGCTTTGGCATTCTGGGTGAAAAGAGTACCATCCAAGTGGCAGCGCAGGTAGATCTGATCAGCCGGACTGAACTTCTGCAGGGATCGATGGAGTTCAGGCAAATCCACATCCGAAAGTCCATTGAAGGTGGGACGGTGGGCAACCTCACAAGCAAGAACCGAGCCCCAGGACAACTTCAGGCGCAAGACCAATTCATCCCATGAAACCCCGAGCAAGCTAAAGGTGCCGAAGCGGTCTTGGACCAGACCCTGACCACCAACAGACCAACCAAGCCGACGCAACCTGGAAACCAAGATGGCTGTTGGGCCATTTGCTGGGAGGCGATCAGGAGAACAAGCAAACAGTCCAAGCAGGGATTCAAATTGATCACCGGACCCAAGCTCTCGCACATCACGCACTGTCTGAAGAATTGACCATGCTTCGGGGTCTGTTTGAAAGGCCGAGGAGGCAAGGTGGAGAAAAGGGTTAGCGCCCTTTCTATTGGCTTTTAAAGCACGCATTGCACCCGCCCTCAGTGGTTTGAACTGACACTCACCAAGGTGCACTACTGTCACACCATGCAAGGCTCTCGGCCAAGCCATCATGTGAATGGCTGCCAACTTTGCTTTGTAAGGCCCTTGACTGGCTCTAAGGCGCACCCAGATTTCAGACATTTTTTCCAACCGTGCCAACAGCACTGCATTGTGGCAGGGTTTGCTGAAATTCTGGTGAGCCCCTAAGTTCCTGGCCGCAAGAGTGACCACCACCGTGCCCTGGCGGAAATGCCGACGGGCATCGGATTCCGTCGACCAAACCCTTGTTTTCTTCATGTCAATGGCCAAGTCCATGTGGCTGGTGAACAACTCCAGGGAAGTCCAAATCCGATGAAAAGCATCCGCATCACGGAACATGACACCCCAATCATCCACAAAAGTACGCAAGTCAACGGCGACCTCAAGACCCTTAAGCCACCAGTCCAACATCCAGTCAACAACGGCCATACCAAAGACAGACAGTGCACAGCCTTCTGGAAGTCCACAAGTCGACTGGATGGGTGCACCCACCGACCGACGAACACGAAACCTCCGAACTTGACCAGAGACGAAGGAAACCCACGCACGTAGGATAGGCTGAGGAAAGTCCAACAAGGCCAGGGCAAACCAGAGAGGATATCTTGGGATGTTATTGAAACACTTCTGTATATCCATCAGCAACCCATGCAAACCTTCACCATTCAAGTAAGCCAGTTCAAGTGCCGACGCAAGCTCAAACCAGATGGTTTTGGCTTGACGTGCAGGAACTCCACCCTGTACACTGTTTGGCAGGTGTACCGCCACGGAGTGCATGGCCTCTTTGGCCCTTTCCGAAGACCAAACTCGATACGGCAGACTGTAGACAACGACTGGCCGAAACTCATCAACTCCTTGAGGTTGGGATGTTTTGGCCAAGCTCGAAACAAACCCACAAGCCAATTGAAGTGGCCAAGAAGCTCCACTTTCAACAGCGTCATAGAGCTGCACCAATGCTGAGCAAGCTTGGACTGGCAAGGCAGCAAGGTCAGGTTGTGAAACTCCGTCAGGGCCTTTTGCGGCACGCCGCTTCTTGTGGCGCACCGCAGTTTGAAAACGGCAGACAGACCAAGGAGCAAAGGACCACTGAATTGGACTCACCGTTCTTTCCAAGAAGGCACAAATCTGGTCCCACTGCCCAGGCAAGACATGAGACATCTTAACCCACCTGCATCTCCATACAGCCTCAAACCGCGCCAAAACATCAGCATCAGACGACACAGCACGCTCTTGAGTGAGCCATTGGCCTGGTTGAAGTCCATCAACAGTTTCTACCCACAGCTGGTCATCATGATGTGTCACAACATCAAGAACCTTACCATCAACCACCACCGGAACATCAGGCAGCAAGGTCACTGGGTGAACCAAGACAAGGGACTGGTCATCATTGCGAACCTCTTCAATTCCAACAGCCACACGGTCAATGAGGCAATCTGCAGTAGGAGGTGGATCGTCCCTACAGTCCTGGAAAACATGAGCAATGTTGTTGGCCCGCCTTTGAGTGGCAAACTGGTATCTATGCCGGGCAAGATCCCGTTCATATTTGGTCACAAAACCCTGGAACGCAGCAAAGAGGTCCCGGACAAAATCCTCAGAGGGACACAGCAAAGGCAAATATGGCAGGGAACCATGTGGGAGGCCCTGCAAAATCCACCATGGCCAAAAACCCCCAGGGAAACCTGCAGCATTTCGAATGGCCTGCCATGTTTCATCACGATTTAGCTGACCATTCCAAGTGAGGCTTGCTTTTGCCAAAATTCTCACAAGAGACTGGAGACGACGCAACTGCTTCACATACTGGGCATGCTGAAGGCTTACCCCCAGAAAGTAGGGTTGGACATCACCTTTACGTCCTTTCTTGACCGGACACAGAAACTCCTTCTGAACACGAGGCTCAAGAACAGTGGCTCTTCCACAGCGCCGTTTGAGCACCGGCGTGCCCTTTTGTTTGACCCAGCATCTGGCTTGGTTCTCAACCTGGTTCCAAAAATTGGCATACTCAACAGTAAGGTCAGCTGCCGGATCAAAAGTGACAGGGCAAGACCAATCTGATGGCCAAGGAAAAGGGAGCGGTCGAGGCCAAGCTGAGACAACTGTTGTTAGTGCCTCTGAGCAAAATGTTGTAACCACTGCTGCATGGTCAGGCCAATGATCAAACTGAACATCGGTACCAAGGTAGGCCTGTTGAAGCTCCGGGGAGATCCACAGTTGGTCAATCCTTTTTGTACCACGGCCAGGTTCAGTTGAAATTCCACAACGCCAGGCCCGCAAGTCTTGAACTTCTCTAAAACCCATAGCACGCAGGCGGGTAAGCTGTTCTAGCTCATCAGGCCCATAGTTGAAATCCCCCCCAATGGCCCTAGGACCAATGGTTTGGCAACCAACCCTGTCCACCACTTCAGACAGCAAAACATCTGTTTGAAACTTGGCCAACTTGTGTGAAGCATTGCAGGGGATCCCATACACCATGCCAACCGTGACCCAGGTTTCCGCCACAGCCATCCCAACCACCTGAATCCGACCAGACGCATAGACGTCGGCATCAAAATTGTGAGGCAAGGCTCTGGTTGGGAACCGAGACAGCATCATGACTCCAGAGTGGGACCCTGTATCAGTCTTTGCCCTAGGGGGACTCGGTGCACCGGTCACTGCATAAGTCCATCGGCTCTGAAGCATACGGAGGCCTTTCACAAACATCGACGTACCCTTGCGAGAGAGCTGGGTTTCAGTCAAAATCCACGCATCACCTGGGAGGTGGTTCACTACGTCAAGCTTGCCATTCAGGCCGGAAGGATTGGCAATGCCAAGGGTCCATTGATTGCCTTGTGCAGCTGAAGGCCCCGGGTGTGAGGCTTCACCAACTCGAAGAGCAGCGACAAAGAAAATCCAAAAGAGCCACCTGTGAACACCTATACAACGACGACCAGACAGACGACCCCCAGGTGCCTGCCGCTTGGTGGCAAAAGTCCAAATCCACCCACCGTCACGGCCAAGAGTTTGCTGCTGTGCTAACCCATTGCTTCCATGACACCAGGCAGAGCCAAAAATAAAAAGTGAAACGCACAAAATGCACTGCCAAAGCTTAAGCATCTCATGACTGACTTTGAAGACACCAGCCCACAACCTGCACCCAAATCTTGAGAGTTCGACGCCAAAATGGCCTGTGTCTGAACCAGGGTACAGGAGTGTGACCAAAGGCCAGAAAAATCCATAGCTCATTGTCCTTCCATCTTTTCCAAGTGTTCCCACAGCTTGTTTGAAGGGGAGCACAACACACTGTCCTACCCCGCAGGAGCAAAGCCAAGCCTGACATGGGAGATAGGGACACCCAAAACGCTTGCACCACCACAACAGCACCCCACCATGTGAAACATGAGTAACACTGACATCACCTTCAGGGTGCCTACTTGAGTACACCACAGCATCGACAGCCAAGATCCAGCCAAGCCACCAAAGCACCCAGCCAAGTTCGACAAAGCAGGAACTTCTGAACTCCCTTCCCTCGGGGCATTCGCTCACTAAGGAATTTCCGATGCTGCAAGAATCCATATCAACCGCACAGAAAGAAACCAGCCGTGGCATGCAAGTGCAATCACAAATCCACGCAACCCCAAGAAGAAGGCCACAGTAGGAAGAGAGGCCGGCAATCCACAAGGCCAAGAGCCAAACAAGTCCAACGCGGCTCAATTGCAAAATCCACTGAGATGCACTTGCAAGGCCTGGCAAATGACCACCTAATTGAACAACCCAATCATGCCTGGCAGTCAGAAACATGACTGGGCACCCTCATTCTTGCCTGGAACGTTTGCTCAAGAGGGATTCAAACTGCGTCATCTGCTTGCTGAACATGCTGTCAAGCATGGTCTGCTGGTGGCTGACCTGTTGGCGAAATTGCTCTTGAAAAGCATCTTGGAAAGTCTGCATCGAGGAGGCCTGCGCTGCAATTGCTCCTTCAAAGTGAACCCCTTGCTGGTGAACCTGACTCCGGATGTCCTGCAGCTGGGAAGCAGTATCATGGGCTTGTTGTTGGGTGGCAGCAGCAATGGCCTGTGTCTGACCTTGCAGATCATGCACTTGCTTTTCAAGGGCTGTCATCCTGTTGTCCTGACCATTTTCGGCATCAACCTCCATGGACTGCTTGGGAATCTGCGCAAGGACCTCTGCAATGACCTTCTGCGTCATGTCTTCCAACGGATTTCCGATCTGAAAGGCTGCTGTTTTGGTCGGCAACCTACTGGCAGCTTTGGCCCAAGGGTCATTCTGCTGAAGAGCATCGGCTTCAAAGGGTTTGGAGACCATTTGTTCCGTGGCAGGGGTAGCAACCACCTTGGGGACAACCTTTTCAGGCAACATGTTGTCCTCTTCTTTGGATATCACAATATCCCCATGTGCCAGTCTGATCACTTTCGTAGGTGGATCCTGCACTGACTGCACCCGAAACATCAGCCCCTGGATGTGAGTCTTTGCTGCAACTGCCTGAACTGGCTTGGCAACCCATCCATGTTTCTGCAAGACCTGGGTAACAGATGCCTGCAAAGTGCCGTACTCAAAAGGGCCCACCAAGAACATCTGCCTTTTGCCCGGCGGCAAGAAAGTGTGACCTGGGCGAAGAGTGCTGAAAACTTCTGCTGCATTTTCAGTTTTGCACCGCAGTCCAAGCTTTTGTCCAAGTCGAGCCATGCCAACTACATGAGAGACCGTCTGACGAAGCAAGAGAACCTGGGATTCATCAGCCAAATCACCTGAAAGTCTTGGGAGGGCTGTCTTCCGTCAATGGATTTCGGCTCCAGGTACACTCCTTCATGACCTGAGAAGTGTTGGACCTGCAACTGCATGTGCTCTGGCAACCTCAGGTGAGCAGTGAACAGTTCAGCTTGGTCAGGGTGGGACTGGCGGAAGTCCAGGCGAAGCCATTGCTTACCCCATATTTCCATCACCGGAGAGTCCATTGGGAAATCCAAAGTGCGATGCCAGCTTTCACAACCACAGCATTCCAAATCACCACACTTCTGCAACGGAGGTACCTGGGCAAAAACATGCAGCAAAGGGTGTGATACCACCTCATGCCAGGGGGCTTTGGTCTGATCACGGAACACCATCGCCTTGACCACACAAGTAGGGATAGCTTGGACCTGACATCCTGTTTGAAGTGGTGCCCTTTGGACAGGGGAAGACCCAAGTTGGACAAGAAATCCATCAACAAGGAGCGGCTCAGAGTTCACTGCACAAACCAAGGGCACTCGTTCAGGAGAGACAGGCAGCACAGTCTGAGGAGCAACTGTCGAGTCCACCACAAACAACGCCAACGATCCAGAAGACAATGGATGGGGAGACTTCAAGTAGGGGTCCGCAGAGGCAACAGACACAACCGCGACGCCAGCAACTGTTGGGCCAACCTGCGCAAGTCCAAGCTGTACCAAGGGCTTTCCATCTGAGCTTTGGAAGATACCTGATTCCAAACGGAGTGAAGTTGGGTCAACACTCACCTTGGGAGCTTGTCCTTTGCCTTTGCCTTTGGAATGTTTACCCACCTTATGTTTCTTGTGACCAACCGGCTTATCTTTGGCTCGCAAGTCAATTTGAGCCTGGAGCTCCGAAGGTCGGATAAACATGAAAGGTGGCCTGGATTGGTTTCCTAACCACTTCAGTTCACGCCATGGGTTGTCAGAGTCCAAAGCCCGGCACAATCCATCTTCCCCCAATGCCTTCACAGCTGCTGCGGCTCGTGCCTGGGAGTCAACCGCCGCAACACCATGTTGAACCAACATGTCAGCAAGGCGACTTTGTGTTGAAATTCCAAGACCTGCCAAAACCGGACGAAGACAGAGGTCCCCAAGTTGGCCCGCAAAGTCAGCACGCATTTCATCAGAGATGGGAACCAATTCATCCTGCCCAGCAGGTAACGGCCATCCCCACAGTAGGTGTCGCACAAAAGCCAGTACCAAGGCACCACAGTAACCCGAAGGTACAAATCCAGGACCTTGGGCTCTCCAAGTTCCCCTGGCATCCCCACGATAGAACTCAATGACCCGACTCAAAAAATCCAAAGTGGGTTCATAGTCCGGTGTCACAGCCAAAGTATGCAGCTTAGCACCTACCGTGTCAATCCTCCAGACCAAAGGAATCCAGTGACAACCAAGCAACACCGCAGAAATGACCGTGGACATTGGACGCAACTGACCAACCAACTGAGACCAAGTGGCAGGCAAATCCTGTTGAACAAGTCCAGAGATCAAGAGTGGATCCCAAACAGTGACATACTGGTCCGCATCTGTTTTGGCAGCAATCTGCATGAGTCCACACAACAATTCATCATCCCCCCAAACTGGACCTTGTTGACCAAGGATGCCAAGTCGCTCAACCTGTGGCATGTCAGGGTGACGCATCACACAGAGACGGGCTGGGTCATTGATGGGACCTGAGTCAAACGTGTTGGATGACCGAACAAGCTGAAGGAATGAGTCAATTCCCAGGCAACACGGAACTGGTTGTTCTGCAGTCAGTTGAGCCGGATCCCACGAAGGCGGGACAAGAGAAACCAATGCTGGGGTACTGAGTGGTTGCGCAGGGTCAACCTGCTCTCCATCAACACGGATCTGAAAGTCCACTTGTGCAGTGCCTAGTTGCACTTCCGCCGCCAAGAGCTTTGCTCCAGTGGCATTTGGGGTCAACTTGATCTGTACATCAGGCTCACCTGTGCAAGGTCTCGAAACGGTGATGAAACCATGTCCCACATCTTCAATGGGATCATCTTCGGATGCTTCAACAACAGTCGGAGCTGTGGCAGGGGGCCACCGGATGCGACATGCTTGAATGACCTTGGCCATGTAAGAGAGCAGCTCATGCCTTGGGTCACACTTTGGTATTTGCAGAACCTCATCAAGGCACTTGCGCACATGGGCAAAAATCCAAAGTCCCATCAGTGGTGCAACAGCTTGTCCAACCCCAGCCATGGCCAAACGTAAGTTGTGCCCCATGTCAAAATTTGGATGGCCACCCATCAAAACCCACATTTCACTAGGGTGAAGGTATCTGGCATGTCTCATGACCATATTCATGTGGGTTTGGCAAGTGCCAAGTGGTATCAAAACACCAATGAGGCCTCTCTGTCGCAGCCTTGTTTCGGACAGTGCTGCTCTGCAGCCACAGGCGCAAGTGTACAGCTGATTCCCTGCACTGTGCAAAAGAGTTGGAAGCTTCTCATTTGGTTTGAGGAAAAGTCCATCAATACCCCCGGCAGCATACTGGTAAAACTTGGAAAGTTCATACAAGTTCAGTTCCAGTTGTTTCGCATCAAACTCATGCCATGGTGTGAAATCTGGAATCAAGTCACGGACAACCTGAACAGGGGATTCAGCCGGCAAATCAGGGAGATCGCAAATTGGAATTACCGGTGCTGTGAGGACTGCAATCCATCTGTCACGCCGGCCACACCATGCATTCCCAAGCTTCAGTATGGTCTGGGTCAACCTATAACCAGTGGCTACAGTGAACTTCCGCATCAACTCCTGAGCCTGGGGATCTCTCAAGATCTCTGGGGTGCATTCCAGAATTACAATGGCTGACTGCAACAACCAAGCAACCTGTAGTGTCTTCGGAAGACTCTGTGCCCTGGGGTCTGCCATTCCCAATCTGTCACCAAGAATCGAATGGGGTTGACATGCAATTCCAGAACACAGCACACCATGGAAAAGACCCTGAGTCATCAGGTGACGAAGAACCCCAACATCCACCAAATCACCACAGACAAAGTCAGCACCGGGATGCGACGACTCAAACAGCTGTTTCCACTTGCCGTTATGGTCAACACCAGCCTTGACGGTAAAACCAAGACGAGAAGCAGTGACAGAGAACCCACCCAAGCCAGCACACAGATCAACAACCTGAAACAGGGCAGCCTTTTCACAAGGAGGAATCGGCACCACAAAAGTTTCATCATCAACTACGAGCTGCAGAGGATGTTCGGTTGTCACCAGAAAGCCCGTCCCTGCAATGGCACCTACTACCGGGAGTTCACCCTTGACCCAGATTTGGATGCCCCTTCTGTCTTGTGATTGCATCAAATGCCGACTACCGTTGTCATGACACACCATACTCATGACCATGGAGATTCTTTGCCCCTCAGTCACGGTTTCCCAGTCCATGGTGTAAAACAAAGCGAATTGAAAACCTAAGTAAAGCGACCTCCAAAGGTTCGGCATGGACAGCTCTACTTGCTGGAAAGTCTTTGGACCAGAGCTCCTGAAAAATATTAGTCGGGGTTACTATTCCCAATATATGGGAAAACATGTTCCAAAACCACCAACCAGAGATCTATAGGCACCACTGCGGCACTGGCAACGTGCCTGCTGCAAGGCACCAGGCTTCTGGCCGTCCACGGTGCAACCCACCGCGAAGCAGGTGCCCAAGATCTCCTTGGCCGTGCCCTTGAACTCCTGGTGCCGGGTTGGCGGTCCCTGGTGGGTGGGATCTTGGAAGGATCCAAACCCCCAAAAAAAGGTAGGATGCAGAAACAAAAACATGTCAAACCTGGAGCCTTGTTTTGTTCCATGTGTTTTTTTCCGTGTTTTTCACTGGGAACACCGATCTGATTGATCTGTTTGCCTGCAACCCTAAACCGCAATGAAAACAAAAGCTACTCGCCTCGGCCACAAAAACCCCCCCAAAGGGAGAAGAGGCCCAGCAGTCAACTTTGGATGGATTCTTTATCAACCGCGTGATTCTGAAGATTGTATCGTGAAATGTCATGCTTCGCACCCGCCTGAGTATGGCTCGTATATTCACACAAGGAAAGCCCACAGTGATCCATAGTGTTTAGATATTAAATATGCCGATGCCCTTTGAAGTCAACCCTACATCTATGTCTCCATAGGTACCCAATATGCCATATCATCAAGAACAGGTCAGTGCTACTCCTTCTTCTGTTCTTCATCAACCCTTTCCTCAATAATCATCCTAATTGCATGCACTCTATTGATCAAGCGTGGCGGCTGGAAAATGTCTATAGGTGTGATTGATTTGCCTTTTGAAATAGCAATCTTCCATTATTACCAGAGGGTATCAGAATGAATGATTGATGCAGAATTTCATGGGAAAGCAATCCAGCTTTAAAGCAAAACCTGGTGCATAAACACATTGGTTTCAGCCTATCTCCAGAACGTCAATTGATGGAACCTCGAAGAAGAATTGAAGCCACGAGTCTAGCCTCGCTGACACCTGGTGCAAAAATGCTACAACATTTTACTGCAAGACTTCTCCAATGTGAATCCGTTGCTAGTTGTCGCGACAAATGACCCATTTGTCGCCAGGCAATTCAGGGGTTTCTCGGCTGCCCAGTGATCATCCTTGGCCAAGCTCTTCTTTCTCATCTGGCGGCAAATATCCAGGAAGACCTGGAAAATGCTGAGTCAAAGCAAACAGATCAAAAGGTGTGACTGTGTCTTAGAATTGGCCCAACCAGAATGGCATTTTTGTTCATGAAAAACTATGGGAAACATGAATAAACATGATGCAAAGCATTGACACATATTGATATTGAAAATCAAGGTGCCTCACTGAGCCCAGGTAGCTTTTCTGCCTCTACCATTCTCTACTCCCCTGGAATCACGTGGTTTCGATCGCTTTCATCATAGATCCCAACTAATCAATATGAGAGCTCTACAATCCTCCCAGGGCTTTCCAGGAATGCAAAGACATTCCGTGGATCCGTTGAATGACACCCTTGGACTTTTCTTGGGAATAGTGGCTATCACAGCAGTGCTCTGAGGCATTGAAAAATGCTCTTCCCAAGTTCTCTCTTGTGTTTGAAAACTGCTAAACAGCTAGGGAACACACATCAAGATCCCAGAATGGTAGAGGGTGCCGTGTCTCAGAATGGCCTATGAGATCTGAAGTCAAGGCACATTCTTGGTGAGATTTCCGCTGTGTTTGATGTTCTTGGTCTTCTTACGGTCCTTAGCGAAGCATTCAGACGCCGACCCGGCTTGGGGCATTGAGAATCTAGCTGGTCAACACGGATGTATCAGTGAATCAGCATGAATCAGCATTCACGAAAAAATAACTAAAATAACATCTAAAAAGTTGAAGTACCTATCTCAGGCTAAGCAAGGTCTGCCAGACGGATGTGTCCAAAGACTTGGAGCATTATATACCCCAAACATGACAATCAAAAGAACCACATATGTAACACACACACAAACACACACATATATATATAATACAAATATATATATATATATATTATGTATATATACATATGACAATTGTTGTTTTTTGTAGGGCCTCCCATTTCATTTACAAAACACAATGCCACCCCACCCCGCCGAATCCATGGATCCATGGGCCAAGGCTCGCGCAAGGGCTCCTTCAAGGCCTTGATGATGAGGCTGGTGGCATTTGGCTCCACATCCACTTTGGCTTGGCGGTTCCTGGGCTCCACCAGGCAGGCTGTTTTCAGCACCATGGAGGGCTTGGCGTGATCAAAAGCAAAGTTTCACTTCGGGCTGGGGAAGGAAGCACGATTTTTTCCATGCACAAAATGATGGCAATGATCATGTCTTAACAGATTGGGCAGCTGTGTTGTGGGCAAGGTTTTTGAGTTTGTTTGACTGCCAAACGGCGGCGGACTCCTGCGAAGTTGGAATAGGTACCATATATATGTACCATCGATTAAGGAAAATAGTATCCTCTATTTTGACACAGGTGTGGAAAATCCTCTATTTTTTGCACAATGCTATGTTCCATGGCTATTACATGGCTATTACATGGCTATTATGCTATTGTGAAACTACCAGAGGGTACAACGGTACAACGTGGGCAGAAATATGATTTCTGGTTGTTCACCAGTTTCCAAGAAGAAACAACAAATATCAATGGCCTTCCTCTACCAAGGGACGAGCTAGCTTAATCACTGAGGTTGGGAGGTCTACATAGCTGCACAGTTTCAACACGTTTCAAATTGAGCGCCTTACCGAATCCACAAAACACCCAAAATATCCCAAAATGGTTGTTCAACGACGCATATATTTGGCTTCAATTTAGAGTATATGACATCATGGAACCATGTTTATAAGATTGAGCAGTGAAACAAATGTCCTCTGACAGTCTTCTGGAAAGAAAAATGAAAATTAGCAAACGCATTGTGGAACTCCTTCGATCTGCCCATGGAAATGATAAACTAATCTCATCCCCTAACGCCCCCCCAAAAGAAACCCCGAGCTTAGTATTAGACCTATTCATTTGGTGGACCAAACATTGGGCATATCTAATATGATCCGGGGATAAGGTTGTAGGATTTTGTGTACAAGCCCCGAAACATGGAAGCGTATAAAGTCCGAATCTATAATAATTTGCTGAATTACGTTTCTATCTGTTTGGTTCTGCATCCACTAATCCAGTGTTTCCCCATTAATCTCCAATTATACTTGGGTTTGTTTAAGCAACCTCCCACAAATCAAAACATATCCCCTAGGAAACAAGCCAAATCTTCAACAAATCCAGGAAATCCTATAGATTAATCTACATCCCATCCATTCATATCCCACTCATATCCTATAAAAAAATCCCATTATATGTAGTAAATCCTGTAAATCATCATCATACCCTCTGGGTATTTAACACAGCCATGGAAAATAACGCTTTGTTTATAGGGGGAAAAACGGTAAATCATCCATAAATGGACCATCTACACGATAGCTACGTGACATCACCAAATGGTAAATTCCATTGAATCCCATTTAAATCATCATCATTTCCCATTAACTCCAAGCAAAAATCACCAGTCACCCAGTCCCTGTGGTTTTTCATCGCCATTCAATCCCATGGAAAATCACCATGATATCAGCAAATTTTCCATCAAATTACGTATAATAATTATTAATTTCCCATCAAATTACGTATAGATTTGATCTACCCGCGGGGCAGTAACAGTGAGCACAAGCCATGGGCACAAAATGAGCACCAGCCAAATGCAGAAAATAATGGTCTAATCTGGTGATATGATACGGATAAATTCTTATACCAAAACCAAAAAAAGCATCAGGTAGACACCATGAATATGTAAATCATCAAATGGTTGAAAAAATGTTTCATGTGAATCGGAAGGAATCAAGCTGCACAGGTGTCTGTTTCTCTCTTCTCGGCTCTGGCTGCTACAGATTTGCTAGGAACTGGCCAACTTATAAACAACATTCCGTTGGAAACCTTAGCAATTCTTAGTAACTACGACAGCCTTAGCAATGTGACAACAATAACAACAACCGCCCCCCACCAGCGACAGCACCACCACGACCACCACAACCAGCAGTACCGGCAGCAGCAGCAGCAGCACCACCACCACAACAACCACCACCACCAAACGCAAGGGTGGGGGGTTGGGGCTGGGCCTGGGGCTGGGCTTGGCTGGGCTGGGGTGCTGGGGGCTGAGGTGGTTGGGTTGGGCCTGGGGGCGCTGGGGCTGCGGCTGGGCCTGGCGCTGGGGCTGGGGCTGGGGCTGGCGCAGTTGACTTTTTTGGTTTTACTGTTTTCGGTTTTTTGTGCTCGGCTGGTGCTCAAATTGTGCCCAGTGCTCGGCTGGTGCTCAAATTGTGCTCGGCTGGTGCTCAAATTGTGCTCGGCTGGTGCTCAAATTGTGCCCGGCTGGTGCTCGAATTGTGCTCGGCTGGTGCTCAAATTGTGCTCGGCTGGTGCTCAAATTGTGCTCGGCTGGTGCTCAAATTGTGCTCGGCTGGTGCTCGAATTGTGCTCGGCTGGTGCTCAAATTGTGCTTGGCTGGTGCTCGAATTGTACTCGGCTGGTGCTCAAATTGTGCTCGGCTGGTGCTCGAATTGTGCTTTTCTTGTGGTCCCCCTGGTGCTCGTTTTGTCGTCCCTTTGGACCTTCCCTTGCCCGGGCTAATTTTGTCATTTTTTCGGAATTATTTTTGTAGTCTCCTTGTGCTTTTTTGGTGCTTTTCTTTGTGTTTTTTTTTGTGTTTTTTTATGTTTTTTTGTGTTTTTGTTTGTTTTTTTTGTGTTTTTTTATGTGTTTTTTGTGCTCTTTTTGTGTCTAGCTTGTGCTGGTTTTGGCGGTTGGTACTTACGCGTCAATGAAGTTTTGCGATTTAGGGTTCGAATGGGCTCGGGGTTTAGAATTTAAAGTTTAGGATGGATGCCAAGTATATAACATTTCCATTTTCCCACATGGCCAATCTGACTCCATGGTTGAGCACATTACGGTGCATTGTGCCAGTTGCATCAAGCGGCCAAATCCTTTCACAATATGTTCTAGTCCTTGCTTCGATGCAGACGCCTTGCTCGCACCTTCTCAGGGTAACACATGAATGTATTGTCTGTAGTCTGCGCTCTTCTTTTCTCAATGTTGGAATGCAACTGATATGCTTGAAAGATCTTGAAAGTGAAGCCCCTGTCTTGAATTCTGAATTCTGTATCAGAGGTTTGGAGGGCAGGTTGACGGTTTTTTTTTGGGCACCTCCTAGCCGAGATTTTTGGAGCAATTTCCTTGTGCTCGTTTTGAAAGGGTAGGTTAAAGGAAAATCATTTATCTGCTGTTACTGGGCGGGGGGTAGATCAAACGTATAGATCTGATCCCTCTCAGATTCAGATCAACCTGGCTTTGTTGGAAAATCACCAGGCATCTGAATCGTCAGCTTCACGGTGACTCGGATCCCCTTCCACTGGCTGGTGCCCTTCACGATGTCATCGCCCACCTATGATGTCAACTACCCTCTGGTTATGACTAACATAGCCATGGAAAATCACCCTGTTTAATAGGTAAACCATCTATAAATGGCCATTTTCAATAGCTATGTTTACCAGAGGGTATATATGTATATGTATGGGTGTGATTCAAAAAAATCATTATGATGATGAGATATGTCAATAAATGTCAATAATAGCTGGTAGTGAAGTTGTGGTGATTATAATGGTCATGGTCATGCAGCCCGATAATCATCCCCATCATCACCATCATCGCCATCAATGTTCATCAATTTTAGGCGGATATATATCATTGTGTCTTTGTATCATCATATGATATGACATGTTCAAGCTATGTCAAAAATATCAAAATCATCATGGATATTGCAGAACGATCATATGCGATGGTCCCAATGGTCTACCCGCGTCCAAAGCACAGGGTGCCCGTGCAAAAACACATCTCCTGGGCGGCCCTATGCCTATACCCCCATCATCCCCCTTTGAATTAAGTAAAAAGGGTGGATGGGTCGATTCTTTAGTGGACCCGGGGGGGGCTAGAAGTGGGACATCTATAGAATGGAACCCAAAACTCTTTAGAATGGAGGGCCTAACATATCATAACAAATCTCTACAGAATGGAACCCGCATCTCTATAGAATGGAACCTCCGAGGGTCCTACAAACAGAGGCATGTCTATAAAATGGAGGAACCGGTGATTGGCTTGAAAAGTGATTGATTTCATTTGTTCCCTCATTTTTTCCCTAAAAAATGGTAAACAGAGAAGTTGTAAAATTATGTGAAAATCTTGTTTATGTTGCAGGATCTGGGAATACCATTCTTTAGAGATTTTCTTAATATTCTGGTCGACCTTGAAAACTTTCAAAGTTCCATTCTTTAGAATTTTTTCGGTTCGTTCAACAACACCAACCAGTGCCTATGGGTTCCATTCTATAGTGATTTGGTGTGATTTGCATTGATTTGCTGCTCTTTTATCCCCTGCCTATGGGGGCCCATTCTTTAGATGCACAATCATCCAGCCTTCCCAAACAAATGGAGGGCCCCAGCACATACCCCTTGATGTCATTGAACCAGTGAGCTCTAAAAAATCGAACTTCGTTTTTTCCCCACCTGCCAGGTGAGGGTTGTTAGATTTTATGTCAGTTGCCTCCTCCTGCCTCCTCCTGCCTCCTGCCTCGTCCTCCTCCTCCTCTCCTCCTCGCCTCCCCGTCGTCCTCCTCGTCGTCCTCCTCGTCGTCCTCCTCGCCGTCCTCCTCGTCCAACTGCGACCCGCGATCCACAGTGTTCTCTGTCGGACCTCAACCACGACCATCCCCGCCCAGTGTTCCCTGCCGGACCTCAACCACGACCATCCACGCCCAGTGTTCCCTGCCGGACCTCAACCGCGAGTGTCCACGCCAAGTGTTCCCTGCCGGACCTCAACCACGACCATCCACGCCCAGTGTTCCCTGCTGGACCTCAACCGCGAGTATCCACGCCAAGTGTTCCTTGCCGGACCTCATGTAGGAAGATTTGCCAGATAGAATGCCAGAAAATCTGCCAGAAGATATGCCAGATAGAATGCCAAATAGAATGCCAGATAGAATGCCAGATAGAATGCCAGAAGATATGTCAGAAGATATGCCAGATAGAAATGCCCGGTACAATATGCCAGAAGATATGCCAGATAGAATGCCAGATAGAATTCCAGAAGATTTGCCAGATAGAATGCCAGAAAATATGCCAGAAGATATGCCAGATAGATATGTCAGAAGATATGCCAGAAGATATGCCAGAAGATATGCCAGAAGATATGTCAGAATATATGCCAGAAGATATGTCAGATAGAATGCCAGAAGATATGTCAGAATATATGCCAGAAGATATGCCAGATAGAATGCCAGATAGAATGCTAGAAGATATGTCAGATAGAATGCCAGAAGATATGCCAGATAGAATGCCAAATAGAATGCCAGATAGAACCAGAAGATATGCCAGAAGATATGCCAGAACATATGCCAGATAGAATGCCAGGTAATATGCCAGAAGATATGCCAGATAGAATGCCAGATAGAATGCCAGAAGATTTGCCAGATAGAATGCCAGAAAATATGCCAGAAGATATGCCAGATAGATATGTAAGAAGATATGCCAGAAGATATGCCAGAAGATATGCCAGAAATAGAATGCCAGTTAATATGCAGACGAATATGCCCAGATAGAATGCCAGGTAATATGCCAGATCAGAATGCCAGAAGATTTGCCAGATAGAATGCCAAATACCAGAAGCTATGCCAGATAGATATGCCAGAAAATATGCCGAATCCAGAATATATTATGCCAGAAGATCATGCCAGATAGAATGCTAGAAGATATGTCAGATAGAATGCCAGAAGATATGCCAGATAGAATGCCTTATAGAATGCCAGATAGAATGCCAGAAGATATGCCAGAAGATATGCCAGAACATATGCCAGAAGATATGCCAGATAGAATGCCAAATAGATTGTCAGAAGATATGTCAGATAGAATGCCAGAAGATTTGCCAGTAAGAAAATGTATAAATGTCATGGTGGGGATCACACGAAGTAAAGTAATTTTTTGGAACCACACAACTGGTGTCTAAAGAATGGGAAATTGAAAATTTATGCGATCCCAGATGATAACCCTGAACTCTAAAGAATGGAACCTCCAGCTTCCACCAAATGAGGTCAAATAGCGACCAATATTCCTCTAAAGAATGTAAGTGGTCGAAGATGGAAAACCCATAAAACCCAAATCTCTAAAGAATAGTGGGGTCCTGGACCACCATTTCCTATAGGGAAATTCCAAGGGGGATCCCCCATCATTCCCCATCTAATTGTCATCCCAAATCCATCAAATCATCGAAAATGCCAAATCCATCCAAATCCCATCATATCTTCACCGACAGTCACCACAGTCACCATCGCCCACCCTTCACTACGGCACCTTCTTGGGCGACATGCCCAGGGGTCCCACCTTCGGCGCCAGCACCGAGGAGGGCGCCTGTTCTCCTCCGTACTGCCGGAGGAAGACGACCTTCACCTCGTTGGGGTCGAACTTCGGCGCCATGGCGACGGAACGGCGACGCGCTGTTTTTTGGGCGGGGGAGACGAACCTATGGAGCCATGGAGGCATCATGGAGGTGGCAAGGTGGCGAGGATGGGGCAGGAATCGTCCCCCCAGGTCACAAAATGGGCATATGATTATGGGGTTTTCAGGAATGGCCGAAAGAAAATTCAAAAAATCTACCAGGATTTTAGCACATTCTGCAGGCCAGGGCTTCCAGGGCTCTTGCAAGCCAATGAACTCTTGGGGTGATATTGCCACGATTTGCGGCTCAAGTTTGGTATGCTATCCATTTCTTGAAACTGTCTTAAAGTCCTAATTCATAGTAAATCCACGTGTATGGGTAAAACAATATATATATATATAATAACTACCGCCCAAATCACCATTTTTGTAGTATGGCTACCATTGCCAAATTTGGGTGGTTTATGGCATTGTTTTAATCACATTACAATTAAACACTTCATCCGGACATTTCGATCGATCCACTTCCGCAACAGCCGGACATTTCGATCCACTTTTTCTCCCCGCTGCACGTCCATGGATCATCCGCTTCACTCAGTTGGCAGCTCCCACTCGTCTTCATCAATGGCCTGCATGAGAAACCATGCTGTTTAAACGGGCTGCTTAGCATCTCGGTACAAAAATCAAATAAAAAAAATATGAGGAAACGATGGAAACGTCCCTTTTCATACGCATAGTATCCCATAGTATCTTCTATCGTGTCTTCAATGGAGCCTGGGACTATAGAAAAGTACTGGGTGGACAGGAATGCCAATCTCATCTAATATCAATCATGGTCATTTCAGGTACCTAATTGGAGGTCTATTTTTTTGGGCGAAATTTGAGAGATACGCCTGCAAGTTCTATGGTTTTATACGGTGCAGTACGTCTATTCTTGGGTCCTGAAATTCCCATTGATATCCGTCATAACCTTCATCTCCTTCAGGGAAAAATGTCTTCATCATCAACACCAGTAACATCATCTAGCAATCATCATCATCATCATCATCATAAACGACAAGGCGAAGCATGCAAAGTGAAAAATCAATGCAAAAGTACAAACAATAATACACCATGAACCATCATCACCATCATCACCATCATCACAACCATCATCATCATCATCATCATCATCATCACCATCATCATCATCGTCATCGTCCTCCTCGTCCTCCTGGTCCTCCTGGTCCTCCTGGTCCTCCTGGTCCTCCTGGTCCTCCTTGTCCTCCTCGTCCTCCTCGTCCTCCTCGTCCTCCTCGTCCTCCTCGTCCTCCTCGTCCTCCTCGTCCTCCTCGTCCTCCTCGTCCTCCTCCTCCTCCTCGTCCTCCTCCTCCTGGTCCTCGTCACTGTGTAGTTATCGTTATGTACTTGATTGTTCCCCCCAAACAAACTATATTCGGTGCTTTCTAAATTTCACAACCCTTATGTCTCTCAAAGTTATCTCACAGCAAACCTGTCTGGGTGCAAAGTGCTTGTTTTTAACACTCGAAGGTCTTGGATTGCGAAGCAGCCGGTTCTGAAGATTGGTTTGATTCCGTTGTGACCGGCCCATAGCCTGGCGCTGAATCAAAGCGTCTAAGCATATAGACTTGTTTGTCGCTGAAAGCAACCTCAAGTCCAGGAACGAAATCTAATAGTAAAATCAGATCGCGGATGTAATGCTGCCCAATGTCAAACTCCAGTTCAGGCACAAGCAACATTTGGAGGAAACGACAATACCTCAAGGCATGAATGACGGCTGGAAGGGCGATGCCTTGAAACCCCTTGACGACGGCCCTGATATAATATATGCCGTCTTCTTGCCCCGGACCGTTGCAGGAATCGTCATTGTTGAGATTGATGACCAGAGTCTTGTTGACCTGATCTGCATCGATGTGAATAGGAGCCGGGCAATTTGTGTAAGGGCATCTGCTGCCGCGCATGCAGCGTTGCTCTGCAGGCTTATGATACCCTTTGCAGGTCAAATCGGAGCAGAATCTGCCTTTGGGGCATCTTGCGACTTTGTTGTCTTCAAGAAACACGGCTGTGGGGAGCTCAATCACGGTTGTCTTTGCAGGCCGCAACATCGGAGCAGAGAACCACAGCTCATCCTCCAGCTCAGTGGACGGCCGGGCCGAGAAACATCTTGGGGAACATTCGGCCAAGGCTGCGACGCGCTCTCTGAGGCTGCTACTGTCTGGGCTTAACCAATCCATCTTGAGCCATCAATATCGGCTGAAGCATGGTGCTGCGTTGCAAACAATCGCCAGCTCAACCGACTAGATTGGTAATGCCCACCAAGTCGACTTGTTAGCTGGGTATATGAGCAATTCTCCTCAACTTGGCAATTCTTACAACCTGCTGTAGCCACATCTGAGTTTGTCGAATCATAGAGTGCCAATCCAGTCGTTTGTACAAACACGTTTCCCTCGCTAAAATGACCACGTTGATCAATTTGGGAAGTGTTTTTCCCATGAAAACGAAGACACCACAAATTTTGGGAAGTATGTTTCTATCACATACTTTCACCATATGAAATTTCCCCGCCGGGTATTTCGCTCACAACACCCAACAAAGAGAGAGAGAGAGAAACAAAAATAAAAGGTGCTATCATGTGTTATCACTATTTGATGAGTACAGGTATGTTACTTTTCCATTTCATTTTTTTTGGGGGTGCTATCTGGCACCCCGCCTGCTGCAAGGCACCAGGCTTCTGGCCGTCCACAGTGCAACCCACTGCGAAGCAGGTGCCTAAGATCTCCTTGGCCGTGCCCTTGAACTCCTGGCGCTGGATGGATGGTTTTTATCCGAAAAAAGGAGGAAGAAAACATACAAAACTGATGGTTTATGGAGATTTCATTGGGATTTATGAGGTCTTTATGTGGTCTTATGGGGTTTAATTGTCAATATGGGATTTTATGGGATTACTATAAACCATCAATCAATGGGGTTCTATGGGATTTTACCATCCAATATGTGGAATGTATGGGGATTGAGCCTTTAATCAACTGAGGACATGATTGAGCACGGCCAAAAATTATCTGCCCAAGGGTTGAATATGGATCAAAGACCATTCAACATAAGACCTTTCACTATCACAAAATAAGGATTTAACCGGCAATTGTGGAGAACATATTATTAATCCAATTTACCCACAACAATTGGAATGTGCACACGCACAATATATGTATATAGATGTATATAGTATACATATATATATAATTATATATATAGTAGGCCCCTAGCAGATAGATTTTTTTTTCAGCGGATTTTGCATGACTAAAGTAGCGAAATTCTAACTGCTAGAAACGCAGGGACCATAGAATTGTTTATACATTTTTTAGACAAATAGAATTTTTTGACAGTTAGAATTGTTTTGATATACATATATATCAATATATATATATGTGTGTGTTGTATATGTTCATGTTGTATGTGTGTGTTGTATGTTTAGAGTGGATTTGGGCAGCTTTGTTTGAATTCACCGATTAAGATCTAGATTAAGACGATGAAAGACTTCACAATTGGCGGGAAAAACAGATGAGGAGCGAAGCACTGAGCCAGGGGGAATCCATCAAAAATGGATGATTTTCAGTGGAAAATCCTTCAAAAATGGATGATTTGGGGCCACCAAAGGTCGATACAATTCTAAGTGCAGGATTTTTCCAATTTTTTTAATTCTAAGTGCATGACTTGGGTATCACTGTGGGCAATTCTAAGTGCATGATTTAAGTATCACTGAGGCGCAATTCTAAGTGCTTGTCACCATGTTTTACGAATTCTAACTGCTAGGCGCCCACTATATATATATATATATATTATATTATACACATGTGATTGTTGTATGTACTGGAAATTCACCAAAAAAAGCTGGAAACATGTTTACAAGCAGACTTTTGTAGATTATAATATGTATAGCATGTTGAATCAAATAGATTGAACATGAGTGTGTTATTTTCTGACTGATTTTAGACAATTGAAGCATCCCTGGGCACTGTAGCTGTTGGCTTCCCTGGGAATCACCACCACTGGCGCCTTAGCCAGACTCTTTTTCCTCATCTGACGGCAAATGTCCAAAAAGACCTTAGCAGAAACCAAATGGCAAGCTGAAACTCTCCGTGAGGCTACTGGTGGGATAATCTTGGTTAAGCTGGGGGCAACATGAAGCAACAAATCATCAGAACTTGAAGGACAAAGTGTTTTGGGGTACCCCGGCCACCTTTCCCTGAAAAAATGATAGCATGAAACCTGACACAAGCACGGCGTCTTCCCCAATCTTGAACATCTCAGGACTCCAAAATCACAGGGCCGCAACATGATGTGTGTTTTTATTGGCTGGGATATGATGAATGGTTTGTTAACTGTTAACCATCAGGAGCTACTTTCTGGGGGTCACCATGGTTCGCAACTTGAGGGGGGGCTGGGGGAATCCAACTGCATTCCGTCAAGTGGCATTTTTGGTGAGGTTGCCACTGTGCTTGATGTTCTTGGTCTTCTTACGGTCCTTAGCGAAGCTGTCTGCTGTCCACGCTGACCGATTGTTTTACAAAAACAGAACGAGACAAGGAGACAATAAAGGGCCACTGCACATAATACCCAGGGGGTACCCTCTGGTAAACTAACATAGCTATGGAAAATCACCATTTTTAATGGGTAAATCCACTATAAATGGTGATTTTCCATAGCTATGTTAGTTTACCAGGGGTTAGTTTTCAAGGTTTCCTTCAATCAGCACATGTATTGGACGCCTCGAACGCTCCAGGCCCCAAGCTTGGAGCCGAGGCTCGCGCAAGGGCTCCTTCAAGGCCTTGATGATGAGGCTGGTGGCATTGGGCTCCACATCCACTTTGGCTTGGCGGTTCCTGGCTCGTTATCGTTTTTTTTCTTCCTTATCGTTTTACGGTGAATGGACTATACCCGGTACAAAAAGGCAACCTGCAATACTAAATCTAATTGACGGGTTTTTTTTAATTTCCTCTGGTGATTTGGAGGACGTCACGTGATCTTCATGGGGGTTGAGCTCTGGAGCTCAACCCCGGGTTTTTAGGACTTATTACACATCAACCACCATCAAGGGATTGTTAACCATCTGTCTGTATTTGGAGCTTTGGAGTGGGTTGGTTAAATTAGATCTAAGGTTTGCAGTTGATTGCAATGGCGGATGTTAACCTGTGTTTTTATCCCTCTCTATCGCACTACTGTGCCCAACAAGGTTACATATACTGCAAATGGGGGTGCACCACTAAGAGCAATATTGACCATTTACATCCATTTATATGCTGTATCCGTGGCCAACATGTTGCCATACATTGAGCACATGGGAATGGTCAATGTCCCAATGTCCCCGGGTGCAGCTAGATTTGTCGAAATCTGAGCCTTCCCCAACTCCAAGTTGATAGCTTACTACAATAAAGATAGTCCAACTGTCCAACTTTTCTACTTGTTTATTCCTTTTCATATCCCCATTAATATCCCACGAGATATTCCAACCTGATCCAAGCGTCTGAATGGTCAGCTTCACTGTCACTCGAATGCCCTTCCACTGGCTGGTGCCCTTCACAATATCATCGCCCACCTATGATGTCAACGTCTGGCGGTTGGATTTTAGGGGAACAAAGTGACAGGAATGTTCAACCTTAGTCCCCAAACAAATAAGAGAAGTGATCTATCATATTCTTCCTACCAAATCCATCACCATTTTGAGTAAGACGTTACTTTACGATCTGTTTTGGGCCATGAATACGTGGACGGCGGGCTTCCTGGATGCTTTTCTGTGAACCAGTTCGAACCAGAACCAGGGATAACTACCCCAGGTAAGCTGGGGATCTGAAGAAGAAAAGGCTAACTGGGGAGTTTCACACCATTGAAGGGTCACTGCAATCATGGCGAATCTTCAACAACCTGCATTGCTGGTAAAACCATGTCTATTCACATGTGTGAGAAAAGATTGAAGCAGTGAAGTGCCTATCCAGTTGGTTATGCCAGAAACATTCAAGAACTTTGAGACCCAAGATGCAACCAGCAACCATAACAAAATCAAACCAATAAGCAGTTAAACCTCGATGCATTCAGCTCATCACCGGCACGGAATGAGCCAAGCCAGGCTGACATTGTTCATGTTCAAAGTTCACTTCAGACGGAACTGGTCTTCAAATTTGGGAATCAAATTCCTTTGGTCTTTGGTCTTCAATTCTGGAAGGATTCAGCTTTGGAATCTTTGGAAGAGACTGAAGAGACCATCCAAGTTCCCAAATCCCACTTTTCCCCACCATCGCGCCCACCCTTCACTATGGCACCTTCTTGGGCGACATGCCCAGGGGTCCCACCTTCGGCGCCAGCACCGAGGAGGGCGCCTGTTCTCCGCCGTACTGCCGGAGGAAGACGACCTTCACCTCGTTGGGGTCGAACTTCGGCGCCATGGCGATGGGACCACGACGGCCTTTTCGTAGGAACGAAACGGGGACCGGGGGGAGATGGACCTGACGAAACGGCCGCAGAGATGTTGAGCTGACATGCTATGCAAAGGTGGGAGAACTGTTTGATGTTTAAGTATGTTGACTGGTTGGTGGTATACCTACCCCTCTGAAAAATATGAGTTCGTCAGTTGGGATTATACATGATTATGATTATACAATATTCCCAATATATGGAAAAATAAAACATGTTCCAAACCACCAACCAGTTTAGGTATGTTTAACCGGCATCTTCGGTTCTTGAAAGATGAGAAACGATCCATGCATGGGAGATTTTCTTGCATTTCTATACATATGGATTCTGGAATACATACAGTTTCCATGGTGTTTCGTAGAAAAAATGTCACAGTAGAAGACATGTTGTAAGCACCCCAAAACAGGGATGGAATCGGAATGTAGAATGACATCAATTTTCATTCACGTGATATCTAATATACCATCTGGTTATGACTAACATAGCCATGGAAAATCCACCCATTTTTAATAGGTAAATCATCTATAAATGGGCCATCTATACCATGGCTATGTTAAAAAAACGGAGGGTATTTCAATATTACTCAGTATACATTGTTGCTGATTACATGCTGCACCTCTACTTTCTAGTGGGATTCACATTCTTTGGTGACAAAGAACTGCTGAATATCCTCATGGTTGCGCCATCCCCAAGTTCGAGGTTTATAAAAACTGGGTATACCATGGTATACCACATTCAAGAAAGTCCAACTTAAATAGAGCTTTCCTAATAGCTGGGGGGTACCCCGCAGTTATCATGCAGTTGATTTTCAACCATCCAACCATTCATAGGTTAGATAAACCATCCATTTTTCTTTTAAGGTACCCCCCATGACTATGGAAAGCTCCACATCTTTGGTGCCACCGTTCCAACGTTGATCCCAAAACGATCCGCTAAGTGCTGTGCCCCAGGAAGATAGAAATCGGCCATCAAGCGCCGTGGATCTGCATCGTCTGCTGCAGCCTTGCGGAGAAGCGGCCGTACTTGAAACAACCTGGTCATTAAAAAGAAAACGATGGGTACATGATTAGGATTGATTAGGATTATAAATATGTATTTTTCTTTTTCCAGAATCGAGTATATGTAATATATATATATATAGACACTAGTAGAAATAACAAAATATAATGAATATAACAACATGGCAACAGTATTAAGCAACAAGGGGACAAAAACAAAACACACATATACAGGTATATATATATATATATACATTATAATATACGTCGCAAAGCACTCAAACTATATATGTCTAAATTGCAAATAAGCTAATGCAATATACAATGAATTATAGATTATAGAGTCGTAGGGCATCCAAACCCCTGAAAATTGGACTGGTCTGTTTTGAAACCCCTGGTGTGAGTGTCAAAGAGCAGCTAACCAGGAATGGGCCAGTTACCAACATATTCCAAAGCACCACATGAATAAGGGATAATAAGGCATACCCACGAAGGACTGCATAAACCCTCCAGTCCATTTACTCATCAACAAGTTTTTGATTCTACACCGACATGTTGAAACTGGTATGTTAAAATGTAAGTGTATTCTGTTAAACACACGGACAAAAACCCGGAGCTTGGGCACATGATAAGCCGTGATTGAATCCCAAGTTGAAATTGGACACCACCCGTGATACACCACCCGTGTCCGGTGGCGCCTTGAGATTGGACCATTTCCCCAGCTTTCGTTCAAACTCCTGGGGCATCTGATGGGAATATATATATATATATAATTATATATGAAAATAGTGGGAGGGTGGGAATATCAGGAATATCATAGTAGGATATGATTGGTACAACCATCAAAGGAAATACCTTGTGGAATTTTGACAATTTGCAACGGAAACTTGCCCATTTGGATCAATGATTTACCTTTTAAGTTTAATAATGATTGTCCAGTTTGCAAACTGTAAGTTTCCCAGTATTGTTTCATCATGCATCATCCAAAAACCATGAAAAACAATCAACAAGCATCATAAATCATCATAAATTCATTTAAAAAAGCATAAATTCTCCAACAGCATCATAAATCCATTAAAAACAAAAAACATCATAAATTCTCAAAACATCATCAGCAATTCCATCCATAAATCTCACATCAACTCTGATTCGTTCCCCGATTCGCATCCGAACTTCGTCCTCGCGGCTCAGCATCAGGACCTATGACGACGACTTTTGCGTGAGATGTTGAGGGTTATCCAGGAGTTTTTTTACAATAAAAAAGAAACTAATGATCGTTAATGGTGATTAATGATGGTTAATAATGGTTAAGAATGGTTGATCGTGATTAATAATGCTCAATAATTGTTGATAATGGTTGATGATGGCTAATGATGATGAATGGTTGCTAATAATGCAAACACCGGATTAATAACCCCCCCCAGAAGGTCAGAAGTCTACCGTGTAGGTCCCCCCCTTAAACCCCCCTTAATTAGATCTTAATAGAATTCCATTGGATTTGTTAAAATCTCATGGATCAGAAAGGTGGTTGATTAATCAGGGCAAACCCTGGTTATTATTAATGGGGGACATGGGCTCATGGGGGGTACCCTTTGGGAGCTATCCAAACTGATGATGTTTTTAAAGATTTTAATTAAACATCGATCATTTGGGGAATAGTTGTTTTTTGAAATTTTCAATGATCAACTTAAACCTTAAGTATAATGATGAAAAAAATGCAAAAAAAAATAATTGGAAATAAATAGAATTGGAAATAACAATTGTTGGATAAAAAATGGATTTCAGCACTGGTGGTTTTTTAATCGGGTGTGTTTATTAATCTGGGGGGACCACCTGTTTTTAAATTGCATTTGTTTGGGGGGAGGAGGAGGTTGATCAGTAAGGGGGGTTGATTAATCCTGACTTGACGTTAATGGTGAATGATTGCTAATAATATATATATATATCTAGGCCCAGGCATTTTCCTTCATATCTCACTAGACTAACCTGAAGACTTCGGTCAGCCTGAGGGGGATTCCATGATTCCAGGGTTCGGTTCCAGGCTTCGGTCACTGGTGGTTTCAATCCCTCTGAAAAATGGGAAAACCATAGGAAAACCATAGGAAAATGGAGGGTTACCCTCTGGTAAACATACAAAAAGCTATTGCACATGACCATAGAAATAGTGGATATACCATGATTTACCCATTGAAAATGGGTGGATCTTTCCATAGTGAAATGTAAACGTTTACCAGAGGGTACTCAGAAGAATGACTTGAATCATGGTGAATCCCACCCCCTAATATTAAACACCCACGAAATCATGGTTTAGTCGGGGAATTCCACATAATTAGGACCATACGATGGGGGTGTTAATATTGATGAGATTAATGATGGTTAACAATGGGTAATAATGAAAATAAAATCACCTTTAATGGCCATGGTTAATAATCACTGATGGTAAATAATGGTGGTTTTCAATGGCTAATAATGTTAATGAATAAATTCATTATTACTTGTTAATCATTGTTAAGCATGGTTAATCATAAGCCCTTCAATGGTGAGTTTTCCTATACTGTACAAAAAAAGGTTTGTTCACAATCTCCAATCATCCCAGTAGTTTTCTGTTCTCCCTATTAACGCACATTATTACCTTTTGGTAAACTAACATAGCCATGGAAAATCACCATTTTTTATAGGTAAACCCAGGTAATCCATCTATAAATGGACCATTTTCCATGGCTATGTTAAATAACCAAAGGGTAATGATTATGAAAACCAAGGTATCTTTAATGGTTTTATTCATGCATTAGCTGGCGATGATTTCCCTCGCCTATTACATGTCCTATCCAACGGGTTGAAAGCCATGGTGGGTGGCCTATCGCTTTAGATGCTTTGGTGCACTTTCTCACTACAACCGCACGGCCCTTTACTAAAGTATATAATCCAAGTAATCATTCTGACTGTATCTCACATCAGTTCCCTTCCAACTTCCAACTTCACAGTTACTACCCTCTGGTAATTTAACGTAGCTATTGAAAATGGCCATTTAAAGTGGATTTTCCCATTAAACATGGTGATTTTCCATAGTTATGTTAGTTTATGAGCCATGTTAATCACTAGTAATTAGCCATTTATCAGCCATTGTTGGATGAATGTTGGACTATTCATGTTGTTATATCCATGGCTAGTCATATCCATTATATGATCAGCCATTATTACTGATACTAACCATGATGATAATCTGGGTAAAGGCCATAATATTTCACTAACCTGAATCTTGCGGCTATTTGGGGATGATTTCCAATACTAACCATGATTTCCAGTGAGGTCGCAGTGAGGTCGTTGTAATTTACCCAGATGATAATGATATACCCAATGATTCATTATCATCCGTTATTAGCTGTTGGATGATCAGCTATTTTTAACTTCCTATCCATCCAGTTACCGCGCTCCGTCTTACCTTGACAGCATCGATGGTGGACACGGAACTTTGACGAGGTCCTCCTGAGTGGAGGGCCTGCAGCAGTGTCTGATGTCATAAAGAGTTGATTTGATCCGATTAAAACATGATTAAATCATGATGAGACTTGATTGTTTCTTATTAAAACATGATTTTTACACACACATGCAATGTTTAAGTGTGCGATTCGGATGATACAACTTGAATTTTCAACCACGTTTCACGTGCAGTTCTGGGAGAAGATCGACTGTCCATTCTGGTCCCATCGGAATCGAACATTGGATTTTCGGGTACCCTACATGATTGGCCTCCGATTTCAACCCATCCCCAGACAAAAATTAGAGTTCGTTTGGGGACCAAACAAACGAACTAAGTTGAACATGCAATATTCATGCAATCGAAAAAAGGTGGTCTTGTTCTTCAACTATAACCATAACCCTTTCAGGTTGGTCCAGCACACAATAGAAAAATCATGAAAAATCATACTTGGATATATCAATTGGGGCACCTTAAATGACACAAACACTGCTTGTGGTATGACTGGGTCTACTACATTTGGCATTGGGTTTCAACCAACCTCCCCCGAAAAGTTACCCTCAATGACCCTCACAATAAGGGCTTATTGAAGGCTTATTTACCAGCAACCACGTTCATGAGGGCTAAACATAGCCATTGAAACATCTTGAACCAGATACTGTACCCGTGCATTCCGATCCCTCTCATCTCGCACCTGCTCACCAAAAATCTCGCCAGCAGCGTACTGTCTGGCCTGTGGATGGGCCACTTCTCCAACATATTGTGCAGACATTGTGGGGGACCTGGTGCTCAAGTTGCGGCCTCTGGGCCGCTTTTGGGGCCTGATGTTGCGATACTTTGTGGGTATTTTAGGGCATAAAACGCACGGTTCACCATCAGCTAATTTAAATACATTCCGGTAATAATTGAATCTCCACTTCCAGGGGACAACCTGTGGGATCCTGGGGGTTTGGAAGACAGTTCTTGTTCGTCCTCCCTGAGGGGGAAAAAAAAACTCTGGGGGCTTGGTTCAAGGAAAGAATTGCAAGAATTTCATGCTCTATTCCCAGCAAATCTGGTGAGACCTCCAAAGTGATCTCAACTCATGCAACTCTGGGGAAACAATGCAGGTGAAACACCATGAACCCATAGATTTCATGATAAACACGATGAACCTTCACCAAATTGCCCAATCGACCATCGCCTCTATCTCTTGTCCATCTTCCAGCCGAATGGTGGACACACAATCTCCTTCCTGGCTTTCAGAATTCTGGACCCCCGGAAAAAAAAGGTAGATTTTGTGGAGCAATTCATAGCGGTTCCAATGGAACAAATCCTGGCAATACCTTGGAAATGCAACTAATATAGCTATGTTTTTGAGCAGGATATTCTTGGATGTGTGACCGTCCTTATGTTTTGGAAGCACCATCTCCATTTTACAAACAGCTTATATACAAACAACATCCTAAGCTTGCCTGAACCAATACCACTAGAACTTGTGTGCTTTGGGGGGCCTTCAAAAGTGAAATACGTAGATGAATGGGGACAAAGCCGCAAAACAACCCCATTGCACCAAATGACCCCTGCAAATCCAAACACCTCCACTTAGTGCTGAAAATGGTTGATTACCCCCATTGCAGTGGCCATGTGAGTGGGAAAAATGATGAGAAAAACAAGTGGATGGAATGCGGTACCATCGTTTCCGACACACCTCACCACCTTGAAATCTTCCCACCTCTAAAATGTAGAAGTGGTTGCTCTCCTCCCCTTGGGCATAGATCCTGAATGCATGATGGAGGACTCATCTTGTCCCGGTGAGATCTTGAAACAACATATGTCGATGTTGGTCTTCATATTGATGTCAAGAACAACAACAACAATGATGATGATGATGATGATTATTACTATTATTATTACTATTAATATTATTATTATTACTATTATTATTATTATATATTATTAGTATGTTGTTGTTGTTGTTCTTCTTCTTCTTCCGGCCAGGGGCAACTGCTCCCACCATCTTCGGAAGGTCGTTTTGTTTTACGCCAGGCGGCAATGCGTCGGATTGGTCGAACCAGCGTCGCTCCAAGGCACCCGCCAGGGTGGCGACCTCAGCTGGGGTGGCGACCAACGTGTTTTTGGGGCATAGAAAAATAGAAGTTTACCATGACAAATTGTGATTTATTGGGCGGAATTACTAAGATTTATTGAGATTTATTGAGATATATTGAGATGGATTCGGATCAATGGATTGGTTTAAAGGAAAAATCTACAGGAAACCCGCAATATTAGATGGTAAAAACATGTAACAGCCATGGTAAAAACCATGTCTTCCTGCCGATTTTCCCTTCAACCAACCCAGTGATGCCTGTGCGTCGGTCAGGATGTCGAACTCCTTGATGTGCCGAATGAGATTCTCCTAGGGTCGGGATCACCCCGTCACCCGGTGATCATGTTGCCTATGTTTCAGTAGGGGATCTGTAGGGGATCTATACACTCAGCTGTTGAATATTAAAGGGATGGGATTACTCAACTCCCACTGTTTGGAAGCCAGTTTATGAAGACATCCTATACATTCCATGTGGGTTTCGTTCGCAGGGTTTTCATAATATATTACAGTAGGGCGAAGGGAGTACTGACATTCACATTCTTCAAAAAAACGTCCAACAGCCCCCCGGAGCATACCCCGTGGCATTAGGGCTTACACTATCATGTGTCATTCCCGTAACTCCCAAAAAACAAATCTCTGCTATTGACCGGACCTGGGGTACGCCTATGAGGACTGTGCCAACCATCTTTGAGTTATGAGTTGCAAGAAACCAAATGAACAAAAAAGTGAAAAAATAATACACTGACATGCTCTTTTGTACCTTTGGAAATCAAACGTGGCAATGGGAAATCCCAACTGTTCAAAAGTGCTTTTGTTGAACATAACATATATATATATAGAATATGGATAGACATAGATTCCCCAAATAGTGGCTTGGCGGATATACACATCAAAAATAATGTCAAGCAAATCAGGGTATAGTATACAATATATATATAATATTAAACTATAATATCTTATATCATATTATATCAAATTAAATTATATTATGTTATATTATATTATATTAAATTATATTATAGTATAGTATATTAAAGTATATTATATTATATATATATGTGTGTGTGTGTTCTATAATGTTGAACATAGTTATAGTATAACCAAAACCTTTAAGATTCGCTTGGGGTAATTGGAGGCGTCAAGCTGTCAAGCCCTTCGAGCAAGATGTGAATTATTCCAACTAAACCGGCTGGACGCAATCACCAAATGTACGAGTATGCCTTAAATCGTCCAAACAAGTATGTCTTATTAATTTATTATGCAATTTTCTATATGTCTTTTAATGTGTTCAATGGAAACTCCGTTGAAATGGAAAACAACTTACTGGTGCTTAGTTCGCAGGGAATGGATGGGAATCAAGGGGGTTGCTGGGATGATGACATTACTAGTGATATAATATAGATCCATATAGATCTACAGTGATCACTATACCTATCTTACATCTATAGTAATAATCATTATAGTGATCCAGTAAAATCATGAAGAACATGATGCCAATCTCAGGCCTTGTGATCTCTCTCTTCGATCATGGAGACGAACTCCTCTCGACCTAAGGGGGATCGGGGTTCACAACTGGCGGTTCGTAAAGCCGCAGGAACTTGGAGCTTTAGAGCTACTAAACTGGTTGATGGTTTTAGCTCATCCCAAATATCATAAGTTTGTTGCTCAGTTGCTCTTGTTCATCAATTTCCCTTCATCCTTAATGGCAACTCTTGAAAAAAACATGAATATGAATGCACTATAGAAGTTAGAAATACCATCTATGGATATGCTGATACTCAACATATACCCAGAAAATGCCAGAAAAAAATGGTGCCAAAAACCAGGAATCATGTTCTGTTCATGGGCCCGGAGACAGCAGGTCGGGTCCGCGTCTTCCGAGTCTTCCGAGTCTTCCGGGTCCGGGAGTCCCAAAGATTTCGATGGTGCATCGTGTGGGGTGCATCCTCCCATCCGCCCCCAGACAAACATAGAGAGAAACAACATCCACCCTCTGGTAAACATACAAGAAACTATTGAAAATTGCCATTGACATAGTGGATTTACCCATTCAAAATGGTGATTTTCCATAGTTACGTTAGTTTACCAAGAGGGTGCAATCATTTTCCCCGAAACAACAAGATAAACATGAACTCGTCCGAAAATAACCATCGGTCACAGTGAAGGTTTTTTTGGGGGAACTTGGGGAGATCGTTTTTTTGACGCCAATCATTGGGATTTCACCATAAATGGAGGTAATAAATTCAGGATCGGATTTCTTGCCCCACGAGTTACGCGGTTTAATTCTCAAAGCAGAAAAATTGGTCCGGCTTTGATTGAGTGATCATGGTTATGCCATCTATAAGCTTTGCCACAAATTATGTTTATCATAATTAGGGAATTAACTATCAAACACCATTTTGACAATAGATGGCTGGTATAAACCAGCCAAAAATTAGGGGATAAACGGGATAAACCCATTTCAAATTTCAATGGGAATGTCGGGACCCTAAAATGCAGCCACTGTAACATATAAAGCCATATAACTTGCAGGCATATCCCTCAAATTTCGCCCTAAAGAATGGGCCTTATGGTAGCTACCTCCAATTTACCTGAAATGACCATGTTGATAAACCATTCCCAGTCATGGTAGTTCGGTTTATGACATTGTTTTACCCACATGAAATGATTATTCAATGATTAGTTATCAATATTAAGCATTGTTATGTAGTTATTGCTTTTATATTGTGGGTGAACTTTAACACATATTCATCTATTATCATGATTAATATTAACCATAATAATCATGTGATGTTTAGTGATGGTTAGTGATCAAGAGTAACCATAATAATAATCATGTTATCATATTATCATAGAGTCATAAACCATTAACATCCATTAGCCATAATTAGGTTAGTAAATATCTAATTGAAATATGGTTAATGGATAATCATGGTTAATCACGGTTAATCATTCACTAACCAGTAACTATTCATAAAAAAAATCATAAACTCTACTTGAAATCCTGAGTTGCTCGGGCCCTGTGCCCTGCTGCCCCAGTGGCTGAGCTTCAACAGCTTCACATCGCTGCGCGCCGTGACGGTCGCAGCTCGCCCTTCCTGCCTGTGGGCGATGCACTGAGGCCGGTGTCATTGGAAACAAAGAAATTTCATGCGATTTCATAGGTTTCAATAGGATTCCAATGGATTTACTATGGGTTTCAATAGGAATTCACGGGTTTTAATAGGATTTCATGGGATTTAATATGGGATTTATGGTGATTTCATGAGATTGAATTTTGTGATGGATAGCCTCCAGTATTCAAACATAGCTACATGGAAATCATCATGTTTAGAGGCGAATCATCGATCCCCATCCTTGGAATTGATCATTCCGTTCCCATATCTTGCGGCAAAGTGGTCAACTTTGGGGATATTCCTTGGATTTCTTCTGGTCAATGGCAATTTCAGGAACCGATTCATTGGAGGTACCTACCATATATAAGGCCTATATAAGGCCTATGTAATGGAATATCCCCACAAAATCTGGTCTTATATGGTACAGTACCTCCATTTTAGGATCCTGAAATTTCCATTGATCTGGGGGGAAATCTGTTTCGGAAACTTCTACAATTGGTGGCTGTAACAACCATGCGTTTCCTGTAGGGGTTCGGTTGCATCAGTCCATTGATTAAGACATGGTCAAAGAGTAAATACTCACCCCCTGCATCCAAAGTAATGAGACTCATCCGTGGCCATCATAGTGTCTAAAGTATCAATAACGAATATCTCTCAAAACCTCATGATGGATATATCATGATATATCATGATATATCATTCATTAAGTATATCTCTAACAAGATCTAACCGACTCATATCAATACAAACCCTCATGAACTGGACAACTTACCGTCCGGCCTCAATAAGGCGCGTTCGCCGAAAAAGCCGCCGGGCTCGTACTTCAGCACCTCCTTCCACTCGCCATTGATCTCGGCCGGGGTTGGGTTGATTGAATCCCTATGATTTTGGCCAGGTTGAAGATAGAGGCTTATTGAATAACATATACATATACATATCTCTCTCTATACATGGTATATTATATATTATATATATGTATATACATGGGAAACCAATAAATGATAAATAAGAAAATTGATATATCAATCATAACCATGCATACTATATAATTATATTTATAAATATATATGTCCCAAAAGCGAGTCTTGGTGGTTTGCCATGCGAAGAATTGTGCGCTGTTGTAGGGTAGTCTTTGGTGATTTGTCTGAGTGATTTTTCCAAACAACTTGTCATTTGGATATATATATATATACATATATACACACCATTTACGATGATGCTACTAATTGCAATGCTACGACGTTGTCTTCGCATTCTTGTAGCCTGAAGCAACTAGCTGTTAGCCGCAGTTTACAGTTTACAGATTTGTAACCCATCCAAACATCTGGGAGAATCTGGCAAAACTTGAAGTTGCATTGTGATCCTTGTGTAATCAAACCATCCAACTATACAAATCATGGATCAACCAGAACTGCTTCCCTTGTAGCAGCACCAAGGCGCAGGAATTGAGGCATAACACTCGCCACTATCCACGATGAAGCAGTCCAAGCCCTCTTCACCTGGAGCTGGCAGAAAAAAGGTGGGGAATAACTTGGGGAAGAAGTGGGGCTGATCTCCACTAGGAGAGTAAAGGATGTTGTTTTAACTCACTATTTTGTGCAGATTTCTTCATCTGGAGTCTTGAAGGATGTTACTCTCCAGGTTTTTTCTGTAACAGTTTGGGCACTGGTCGTGGAAGTTAGAGTTTGCGAACCACAGATAGCCACAGTCCACTGAGTCAGAACTGGGATTTAACGGAGCCAAAAATCTCCAGAGGGTATCCTGGTTTTTATGATTTCAAGAGCCACAAAAAATACTCCCCAACCTCACCCAAAGACCAGCGCGTAAATTTTTGAAGCGCCTCGCCGAATGATTTCCTCCCCAGCCTCAGAGGTCCCAAAGTTCTGCAAAGATGTGATATGTGATATGTGTATATGCATAAATGATCACTGCTTGGTGGTTTGAACCCCTCTGAAAAATATGAGTTCGTCAGTTGGGATGATGAAATTCCCAATATATGGCAAAAATGTTCCAAACATTTCCAAACCACCAACCAGTGATCATATATATATATATATATATATTATATATATGTGTGTGTGTATTGTTTCATGGGCTATTCGGGCTTGCCCCAAGATATAGGGGTATTTCTGTAAGATCTTTGTTTCAAAGTGCTAGCATCAATTTTGGAGTTCCGACGCTACCATGGGCGAAACAACGGCTCTTTGTTGATCGTGGGATTGATTCATCTTTTCCCTAGCTCGTGGCAAGGGATTCTTCATGGGTGCTTTTAAACACTTTGCAAGACAGAAGCAACCATCAATTCCAGCAGCTCAACGACTTTGCATCATGTTGAATATGTGTTCCTCTATTGATGGAAAAGGATTCTTGATGTAAGCAACATTCGAATGGAAGAATGTGACGAGACAAGCCAGGACAATTAAAATAAGGCACAGTACTGACGAAGCGTAGCAAAAAGTGCCAGAGAAAACCGGGCATACCATTTTTTAGAACTTGAGATTGACGAAGATTCATCCCAAGTAGGGGTATAGACAGTATATACATAAGTATACAGTATACACAAATCACGCACCAGAAATTTGGGATAGAAATGGCTGCAGATCCCACAGAATCATCCATGACAATGGCCTTTTCCTGAGACCCCGGAAGATGTTCGCACCGTCATAAAACACAAATTGGGGACGGTTTCATGATAGTCATCCCATATAGCCACTCCCCAAAAAAATGCCGGAGAGTCGGAAACCTGGAAAGAATGTAGAAAACATCATCACACCATCTTTCTTTTGGGGTGGTCAGTATAATGAATTACGACAGTTCTCACACACATATTCCATCATTATCACAAAATTATCTCAGGACTTCCCAGTGTCCTACAGTTTCCAATTTCAATCCCACAATTATCTCACATGATCTTATTCTCTGATATCATCCAATACTTACACTATATCATTGTCATTAGGGATCCTACATTCATAAGGGTTGCTCCCAACAACCGCCAAAAGAAAGAGGAGGAAAACGGCTAAGTGAGGTAAATTACAATTTGTTCGCCAGTCATAATTGATGTAATGGCTTGGAACAACCCTTTTCATAAGGGGAGAAATCACAACTTTGGGGTTTGGTGCCTGCCACAAAAAAGAAAAATCCATGCCGAGTCACAGCATATGAGGTCTGCCTCAGATTTCAGCATATTTCAGCGTGATTTTCACGGACGAAGAATGAAAGGGTGGTTCTCCTTCAGTTAAGGGGGATTAAATATACACCCCCCCAGTCCCTGCAAGATATAAAACATGAGTCATAGAATTTAGAGCGAATCCAAGGTTGCAAATGCTCACGGCGCCTGGAGAATTTGAAACTTTGAACGCAGCCTAGAGTGCCTTGCAAGATGTTGGCACTTTCTTCTCTCATCAGGGAGATATCATTCTTCATTCTCCTTTCGTCACCAAACCATAACCCATCCCATTCCACCAACGACATTGCTGAGCCAACCCGTCTTCCCTGTCAAGTGATGCACGGTGGTGCCCCAAAACGTTTTCTAAGTTAATTAGTTTATAAGTAGGTTATAATTATTGGATTTATGGTAGATATGTTCATAAGCTTGGATTTATGGCCTTTCTCTCTCTCTCTCTCTCTCCCCCTCCATCGCCATCTGGTCAAGGAATTTTGGTAGATCTAGCATTATCTAGCTATCTAACGTAGACCAAACGTAACTTAGTTAACACAAACCATGTTCTTGAACCCCCATGTTTGCAGCTAAAATCCCCATGTTTGCAGCTGAAATCACCATTTCACCAAGAGAAAAACTGGCTGCCGAGACGCTCGAGAACTTTGGCGCACTCCTCGATTTCCAGTTCGCACTGGCGGGCAGCAGGTGGCTCAAGGTGTCATATCTACTGTAATTATGAGATAGTATTGGATATTACATCATATTTAAAAAATATGACTGTATCCATAATATATCTCATACTGGATTTAATATCCATCAATATCTATTGTATTGGATAATTATGAGAAATTGAAGGATATTAAATCATATTCATCTCTCTCTCTCTCTATCGCCATCTCAGAGATTTCGTGATGGATATTAATGTGGGATAATGATACGATAATTGTGTGATCATATACTTACTTCAGGAGGAACAAAGTTTATGCTTCTTGAAAGCTTTACAAGACATCCATGTCGGTCAACCGCGGATCGCATTTTCAAGTCCGTTTTGTGTGGCAGGTGTGGGACGGTCAATTATCACCCTCTTTTAAATATATAAGATTTTAAAGCTTTTGGAGGGTGGAAATGCGACCGGGGTACGACAAAGCTCCATGCTAGGATTCTACGGGGAAAGGGTGTGCAGAAGAAGAAGCCAAACATGTTCACTGTGGGAAGCTCAACAAGCGCAACTTTTGTCCTACCAGTGCGTCACGGCACATGTGTAGCAGTGCAGACAAAGAGGATGGAGACAGACATGTTATGTGGAGTAATGTCCAAGCTGAAGCAGGTGCAAAAATCAGCAAAGGACGTGGCAATTCCCACTAAATAAGCTTTTTGTACTCTGCGTCGCAGCACATGTGTAGCAGTGCAGACAAAGAGGATGGAGACAGACATGTTATGTGGAGTAATGACCAAGCTGAAGCAGGTGCAGAAGTCAGCAAATGACGTGGCAATTCCCACTAAATAAGCTTTTTGTACCCTGCGTCACGGCACATGTGTAGCAGTGCAGACAAAGAAGATGGAGACAGACATGTTATGTGGAGTAATGGCCAAGCTGAAGCAGGTGCAAAAATCAGCAAATAACTTGGCAATTCCCACTAAATAAGCTTTTGTACCCTGCGTCACGGCACATGTGTAGCAGTGCAGACAAAGAGGATGGAGACAGACATGCTATGTGGAGTAATGACCAAGCTGAAGCAGGTGCAAAAATCAGCAAATGACGTGGCAATTCCCACTAAATAAGCTTTTTGTACCCTGCGTCGCAGCACATGTGTAGCAGTGCAGACAAAGAGGATGGAGACAGACATGTTATGTGGAGTAATGACTAAGCTGAAGCAGGTGCAGAAGTCAGCAAATGACGTGGCAATTCCCACTAAATAAGCTTTTCGTACCCTGCGTCACGGCACATGTGTAGCAGTGCAGACAAAGAGGATGGAGACAGACATGTTATGTGGAGTAATGTCCAAGCTGAAGCAGGTGCAAAAATCAGCAAATGACGTGGCAATTCCCACTAAATAAGCTTTTTGTACCCTGCGTCACGGCACATGTGTAGCAGTGCAGACAAAGAGGATGGAGACAGACATGTTATGTGGAGTAATGACCAAGCTGAAGCAGGTGCAAAAATCAGCAAATGACGTGGCAATTCCCACTAAATAAGCTTTTTGTACCCTGCGTCACGGCACATGTGTAGCAGTGCAGACAAAGAGGATGGAGACAGACATGCTATGTGGAGTAATGACCAAGCTGAAGCAGGTGCAAAAATCAGCAAATGACGTGGCAATTCCCACTAAATAAGCTTTTTGTACCCTGCGTCGCAGCACATGTGTAGCAGTGCAGACAAAGAGGATGGAGACAGACATGTTATGTGGAGTAATGACCAAGCTGAAGCAGGTGCAGAAGTCAGCAAATGACGTGGCAATTCCCACTAAATAAGCTTTTCGTACCCTGCGTCACGGCACATGTGTAGCAGTGCAGACAAAGAGGATGGAGACAGACATGTTATGTGGAGTAATGTCCAAGCTGAAGCAGGTGCAAAAATCAGCAAATGACGTGGCAATTCCCACTAAATAAGCTTTTCGTACCTTTCAGGAGGAACAAAGTTTATGCTTCTTGAAAGCTTTACAAGACATCCATGTCGGTCAACCGCGGATCGCATTTTCAAGTCCGTTTTGTGTGGCAGGTGTGGGACGGTCAATTATCACCCTCTTTTAAATATATAGATTTTAAAGCTTTTGGAGGGTGGAAATGCGACCGGGGTACGACAAAGCTCCATGCTAGGATTCTACGGGGAAAGGGTGTGCAGAAGAAGAAGCCAAACATGTTCACTGTGGGAAGCTCAACAAGCGCAACTTTTGTCCTACCAGTGTATGGGATAACATCATTTTGGGAAGCCCAAAATGAAGCATTTCTGTTTTATCTACTTTTTAGTTACTGGATATACTCAATACAAAAAAAAAAGCCAAGTACCGGGATAAGAATGGGCTGTGGTAAATATGGTAATGGCTATCCCATAATCACTAGTAGCAAATAGTAAATGATAATGGGATAATGATGGATTAAATGTAGTCAAACCATCCCCGAACAAAGGTTCATTCTTGAGCTTATACCTCTATAGATCTAGTGAGACAATTACTGATTAGTCCACTATATCGTACTAACTATAAATATGAATTCAATAATAGTCACCATCCCCAATATAGGTTTCTGACATGTGGTATATCCTTAGTAGTGAGACGACGTAAAATGATCACCTTTCATAGTTGGTTACTGGGGTGGTTTGTGGAATTGGGTTACAACAATAAATAAATTCTTTGCAAGGATCTCTAATCAGTTAGGCACCTGAGCCTCCCCTCTACTCTGAAAACTCAAAAATGTGTTGTTTTCTTCACGGAAAAGGATGTAGAAGCAGTGTTTCGAGAGCTCAAGTTTCGGCTGGTGATCAAAACCGCGTGATCTTAAAATAAGATGAACTAGCAGGCAGTTGGTCGGTGGTTCTCCTTACATGCCACTATCATATCTGACAAGGATCTTGTTAAGATTGTTGGAACTGAAACTTACCTAAATACAGATTACAAACACTTATGTGCCCACACACATTTCCATAATGTCTATAAACCATGGTACATCTACAAATATAAATAAATCAAATCAAATACTTATATACTACCGTTGCAGACCATACAGCGAATTGCCACTGGAAGTTGAAAGTCATAGTTTTTCTACGTAGGGTTGCAATTCCAGTGCAATTCCAGTACAATTCAGCAGTGTTCAAAGCCCGTCGTTTCATTATACCGCTTGGTTTATAGGGATTTTCCTATTGGGTTCATATGATCCTCAATGTTGGTTAGTATCATACTAACGTAGCAATACCAATATTGAGGGGTAATACCTGTTATGTTGGGGTAATCAATATTGATGGTTAACCAATACTGAGGGTTATTACCTGTTGGGGTATCTCAATAATCATAGTCCTCAAAATACCCCAGCAGGTGGCAATTACCCCAATGTTCAGCATTCACGTGAAACCTCCAGTCCTATCCTGCTGCAAGCACTTCTTTTTGATCGAGTTGGGCGACGTCTCTTTTGGACGAGTCGCATCCCATTTTTTTGTGTTTGGCAAAGTGGTGGTGGAAACACTTCAGTTGGCGGCCAATCTAGAGTTTGGACAGTTTGGACAGTTTGGACAGTTCGGACAGTTTGGACTTCAATCATTCAACGTTCCGGAAACAAGTGACTTGTTGCCATCGGAAAACTCGTTGATGGCCTGGTTATTAAGTCCCCTAAGGAGGTTCTCCCATTTATCACTGGGCTAGAAGCCCGTTTACTAATTTTGCTAACAATTTGCGGGTCATGGGAGGATCCTCCAAATCGGCAGGTCTCAAATCGTCTCTTGCGTTTCCACGTTCCAATTGCCCAGAGGCACTGGCTTCTCTACACGGCAGGTAAAACCGTCTACGGGAAGCTCTCCAGTCCTCCAGTACCTCTGCTGGGATGGGTGCCACGAACAACCGCCTAGCTCCAGTTCACCCACCTATCAAACAGGAGGGCACCTACGATGGTTACTAACCCCTTTCTCGCAATATTGAATACCACACGGAAACCTAGACTAGCATTGGATGTTTGCGTTTTGGGGGAAAGCTATGGAGGGTATTTATCAACCCGCGGTACAACATGGAGTTTAGATGATGATCCTCCTACTACATGATCAACAACTTGCTAAGTGATAATTTCCACCAAATTACCCCATGTGTTTGGATATATGGGTCTGGCAGAATTCAAATCACTCACCAACCCAGAAAGTTACACCACTTTAAATAGTATTCACCACCGTTTCGAGTGACATCGGCAAGTCAATTTTCCCAAATGGGATTGTCTCAAAGAAAGGTCTCTACCCCGAAAATTGATGGTATATACAATGGTTTTCTCCATTTACAGGGTTGCTCCGAACACCCAGATACAAGCCGGTGGAAAATTACCTTCGAGGCTATAATTTACCTCTACTGCAATGGAGCAATCCAAACAATATTTCCCCAGTTGTGTGTTTATGTTCACCCATGTTCACCCCATTAACTAGTTTCCCGACATGATTCCCCATGATATATTCCCATTATACCACCATTACATCCCATATTTCACCACCATGTTTTTTTATAACGAAAAAACATGACTAGTTTTGCGGTATAGCCTTCAGTAAACAAAGGTAGCCATGGAAATTCATGGGTTTCCCGTCAGAAATGTGATCCACCGCCCTTGGCTTTTCAAGCCTCGCCAATAGATCCAGGCAGGGTTTCATGCCGCTGCCAGGGTAGTCACCACCTGCGACGGCCAGTGGGCAGGTTGAAGTTAAAGGGAGGACCAAAATGAGTGGAACAAGTTGGGGTTGGGTAAGGGGCTCAATTGGGATTTACACAAAAATGGATGGTTTAACGTGGTTTCGGCAATTATTGTGAATAAAATGAACAATGATAAACAAACAATATCCCATAGGATCCATGGTGCTGGTATATATGCCAACATTTACCATCAATATACCCCAAATGTTAGCATATATACCAGCACCATGGATCCTATGGTATATTGAACAAAATGGTACAGTAGTTAGCTCCTCCCCAGCTAACATAGACCCGTTAGTTGATTCATAGGATAGGATTTGGACATACCAATCTTAGAGATCCTGATCTTCAAGGTGGGCACTCCGGTGGGCACTCCTAGTTTATGTTGGCCCCTAAGCATTGACATCCCTCAATTATACTTATATATAATGTAAATATATGTAAATAATTAGTATTTAAAATACGTTTAAAACATATAGATATCAAATAATATCTATATATAGTTGTTATACAATATCTATATATTATATTAAATTATATCCATACAATATCTATATATGTACCGTAAATCCTAGCTGAACTACTTATCAACCGACCTAACTACGGCACCACCTTTCAGCTAGACCTGGATCTTCATGGGAATGGGAAGGCTCCTTTCCTTTTCAAATGGATGATTCTGAGGGACCCTATATATATATATTATATATATATATACCATCTGCCTATTTAACATAGCCATAGAAAATCACCATTTTTAATAGGTAAACCATCTATAAATGGGCCATTTTCCATGGCTACGTTAAATAACCAGAGGGTACAGTAAATCTAAATATAGTTGGAGGAGCGGTAAAGGAATTGTTGGCCAGCCAGTTCCAACAGCCTGAGAACCAAGATGATGGATCTAAGGACTTTTGAGGTTGCCTGTTTTAACAACACATCTCAGGCGGTCTGAAACATCTTGGCATACCTTGAAAGATTGGGGAAGGATGAACCTTTTAGTGTGCGCCGTGTCTGGAGGGGTTTTCTCGCCCTTTTCAGACACCGAAACAACATGTTGCTGATCATATCCGATATCCTATTAATAATCATCCCGGTATTTCCCATATTATGTATTCCTTTTCCCATTGTATATTTCCAATATTTCCCATATTTCCCAATACTTCCCATATTTTCCAATATACACCATATGTCCCATTGGTGTTGTTCTATCCGTCAACATTTGAGGAGAAGCCCAGCCTTGGCTGAGGCAATGCCCCACGCCCTGCCAAACGATCATCACGCTGTCCGGTAGGGACTCGCGCATGTGATTGCTCCAGGTGTAACCTCGGTCATCACTGGGTCATCATCTGGACATCAAGTGGCTTGGATTCTCCTATCCCAAAATGTTGCCCTTTTGACACCCCACAAAGAACATCAAAGTGCTCTCTCTGTGATATTTTGTTGTTCAACGTGCTAGTTGCACTCACACGCCAACACGCCTTTGTATGTATCTATGTATGTATGTATATATATATATATATATATATCTTATATATATATGTGTGTGTGTTTGCGTGCTTCTTTCAATGTGAAAAACATGTACAATGTATATATATATATATAATCATGTAATAGCATAGCAATATATATAATATATATATATATATTGCTATACTAGTACTATATATATTATATAGTGATGTTGTTTAGTGGACCCTATTCTTGAAAACAGAATCACTGCACAATGCCTATAGCAGGTTCCCAAAGCCTAGCTACTTTAATGGTCGACTCTCCACACCCCAAAATTGAAAGGCGGCAGCAATCGCTGCTTGTTGGGTCCAATTTTTACCATTGATTTGGTTCCAAACTTGGTTCCAACACCCAAGTTTAAACCCTTGAGTCCCTTCCAACAAAGCTGTTTTGGGCAGTAGCTGTCAGCCAATAGATGTTTGATGGTTCTCCGTGTTTCTGTCGATCTTTAGTCATTTTGTCATTCAAATTCCATTTTCAGTCGGGAAAAAACACCTTAAGAATATGAACCAGGCCTGGTTAAATACAACTTTTTTGGTTGGTTCAATTGGTATTTCGCACAACGCCATTTTTACGGCATCTTGTTCGTTTTATCCGACCCCATCCCCAGAATGGTGGACAATATCCCAATCTACTGGGGGTGCACCCTGTTAGTAACTGGCTCAAGAAAAATCATATGTTGCTCGGGTATCTCCTATATTATTATCATACAACTTAGCAAAATTTGCTAAAAGCATAATCCAGTTATTTTAGGCTATTTCATGATATGGTTCTTACCCACTTAGTGGGATGCACATCCAAGTATGGTTCTTCCACCATCCCCATCCCCCTAAGAATCTCCCCATGATATCTCCATGTGCTTCGATGTCCATAGGCCCTGAGCCCAGACACTGCAGGCGGGATCGTACAAGTTGCCCACCACCAAGGCTTTGAGACCTGCGCGGTAACCCACCTGCACGGGCACCGCATCCAGCTGCCACGCGAAGAACGAGCTAAAGATTCCCAGGAAGGCACCTGGCTGGAGGTGCAGGGTGGGAGAAACGAGTTAGGTCTGTGGGTTTAAACATTTATGTAGTTGGATAATGTTGGATATATCTATCATATATCTATAAAGTTGGATATAAAGCTGGATATATCTATCATATATCTATAAATTCAATGATTAACCTATTATTTCAATCAGCTAATTCACCTTGTATGGAGTTGCTATTGGTGAATGGCCCAGGATCTCGGAAACCGCTGCGTGCAAGGCCTTTCTTGGAACACAACTCATGGCTGATGAAAACCACATGAATCTGAGAAGCATCAACATAGAAAACCCCATGGTATCATAGAATGATAGTGAATCATACCAATGTGGGATTCACCCAATGCCATAAATACCATAAATGCCATAAACAACTACCAAGACTGGGGATGGTTGAGGTCCAACGTCACGGGATGACTCGGGGGGATGATTTATGATATTTATGGCACTGAATCCCACATGAATCATCACTAATCATCATTAACCACGAGGTGAAATAACTAGCTTCACATTGAATACTCGGATTTTAATATGGATTTATGACTTATAGTCACTTGCAATAAATGAGTATCATGATGTGTTTTTTTTAACAAAATCAAACTTATAGTAGATATCTCGTGATATATCATGAATGATATATATATATATATAGTGATCTATAGTTTGATGGGGTTTCATAAACCAACATCTATGGCCGCAGCGAGCTGACTCGCACCGCCATCCAAGGCGCTGATCGCCATTTCGTCCCACTTTTGCCGGTAGCCCGTCCTGGGAGGAGCCGAAGGAAACCACGGCGATCGAAGGACACCACGGCGATCAGTTTCCAGATGAAACAAAGGTGATTTATTATGATTTATTGGGTTTTCATGAAACATCATGGACACCTTTCTAAGGGAGAAATGATTGAGATTTACTGGGATGGGATTGGTTTATGTAAGGGAAACATCTTCACCGGAAACCCATTGCTTTTCTCCATAAAATATCGGCTTTTCCGGTAAACGTTACCAACCCAATGATCCAAACTCGGAGAAACTCCGAAAATCCACTATCATCCACTACCATTCTATGCATGTTATGAGAATGTCTCTCCTGATGTTGAGGACCAGCGTTGCATGTGTAGATGATGTTCCCACTAATGAATTTCCATTAGGCCGTGCGGGGATACACTGCCGGAAGAGTGTTCACGGGACCTGCCAAAGTAGGTTCCTGTGCAGCGGTGAGAACTTCCATCGAATCCACCAAGCAAATAGCATATCTCTCCATGGCTAACCGTGTTGCTTCTTGCTTTCATGTACACATTACACACGAAAAAAAAAAAACAACATTAAAAACAATATATCCACATGCTTATGCTTGTTGGGAAAAAACAACTATGATGGCTGGTACATCATGGCATCCAAAATCACCATATGATGGTTGACATATTTGTGCTGGTAAACTCCAATCCATGCTACTAACGTCTCTTTTGTTGTCCAAACAATTGTCATTTTTGTTTTCTTGGCTGAATTTCTGAATAGTTAAATCATGTTAAATTCACAGTTTCATACATTATCCCTACTAAAGTCCAAAGTAAAGTAACCAGAATTCACATGGTGAGCTGACCCTCGTTGCTGCTAGGCTCCAAATATCCATGGCCTGGTTCACCGTAAAACGACCAAAGAGATCCTGCCCCAGCACCGTGGCTTCGTTGATGAAGCCGTCCACCCCTTTACCTGGCGAAGCTATGAAGACCCCGTTTGGGTTTCGCCAGCAAAAATTGATGGAATTCAGAGGATTTCACATGATTCCAAAAAAACAATAATATAAAGATATATATAATTATATATATAAAGTAAGTAGTTGAGCAGGAAAAAACGGAGCTTGAAATGTGAATGTGGGATTGAACATTGACAATTTGAACGAAACCACGATTAGGAAAGATTAGGACGCCGAGGCACTGAAGGGTGCGATGCCCAAGCCCTCCTGAGCACGGGAAAACATGGCAAAACGACACAAATATTATGGGAGGCAACGGATGTTGTCAAACCATCCCGGACTATGACGGGATGAACTCAGGAACAAATCAACATTATAATATCGCTATGAGTCAAACCCCTGCCCGCCTCGGCATACTCAGACAGGATGTTAATGGATGTTTATCCCTCCAAATATGGTAACAGGTATTGACCCATCCCCATCTGGCGAAACAAACGCCAGAAGAAAATCATGCGCATGATTTTCCATGATTTTCCACCACGTCATCCAAAAACACAAAATGTAATCCACAGCATCTTTCCCATGAATTCCAAGCCAGCTTCCAAGTGCTTGCTGTGGTAGCTGCTGGACAAGCCTACGGATTGCTGCCCCACACAAGTACCGTAGAGGGACCAGGTTTTCACACCGCTCCAGGCTTCTTTTCCAGGACTGGAGGGCAAAACGCAGTATCCTCAGATTTGGGGGCCGGCACAAGGTGGTGAAACGTCATGTTTGTTGGTTTAATACCCATTCTCATTATAGTCGCAATATAACCACCATAAGCCCTGTAGTTATTTAAATTATAAGTCAACTTAGAAAACTGTGGGGCACCATGTTTGGTGGATTAAGCAATGGGAGAGGAACGAATAATCTTCAGCAAATCCAGGAATATAGGTCAAAATCCTGTGATCACATCCAAACAGGTTCTACTTAGTGGTGGAGGTCCATTTCGAACAAAAACGTTGACGTCGACTGATCCTTAATGGCTATGATTGCCAAAAGGTTGCCCCATGATTAGCTGAGTTGGTTTGTAAACACCAATTAGTACAGTTTCTCATTCATCTACTTATTTCAACCAACTTAGCTGATGTGTTGGGAGCACCTCCCATTATCCCTAAAAACATCATTATAATCAATCAGCAGTAATCATCCCAATAATATGTTTGATGTACAAGTCCATGTAAGACGGTTATATCTATATCCCATGATAATATCCCTCTAAAACTCACATGATATTCCAGCAAGGGTCGTTCCAAAATGGCCTTGACCTGTTGCGTTTTGGCCTCCGCCCCCCGGAAGCCCGCCAAATTTGCGATGGTCAGCACCGGCTGGGCCCAGCCGGTGGGGACAAAGCCGGCGGAGATCATCTGCTCCTGGAGGTAGCCCTGCAACAGGCCGATGCTCAAGGGGAAGGTCACCTGAAAAGGCAGGTAGGTTGCGAGAGGAGTCAACAAAAACCTTATTGTCATATATATACTTGGATGTATGATGATGTATGTACTTACTGTACTATTGTAACTATGTCATTATTCTCATCATTAGTAGCAGCAGCAGTAGCTCGATGGAAGCCTCTATGAGTCAAGCAAGGTGCAACAAATTTAAGTGCTTAGCTGGACAGTTGAATTGTCATCTGATGAAGAATTATCGCCAGGAAATGTGAAACATTGTAAAACCGTGCCTTATTTGGAAGCAACTTGTTCTACAAAAAGTTGGATGGCACGTCAGCGTATCGGGAACAAATGACCGAAGGCATCTAAGTCGACTAGGGGGAGTGTCCTAGTTAAGAAAGGATAGAGGCTTTCATGTCCCTGCTGAAAGCCGCAGCCGTTTTAACCCAGCAATCTACCTTTCGGAAATATGTGTTAATACATAATTTGTGTACAGTGTAATGTATAAACTGGATTAGCATGGTCAGCTAGGAGCCTTGTTGCAAGCCTTAAATGGGCATCCCGCAGGGATCTGCCCCACCGGGATGTCCGGCCCAGGGGCTTTGGCACCATTGGAACCCAGAATTTCCGTGGGTGCGGTGAGTCTGCCTTTCCGCAACTCGTCCAGCAGGCTCTCCCAAACCTTGCCGCCATCATGCCCAATTCACCACAAGTTCCTGCACCATCTATTATCATGGCAAGTATGATGGTGGTTGTATTAACAGTTATTAACTGCCTCCTCATCCTCATCATCATCATCATCACTTCTCACTTCTCACTTGTTACAAGGGTTCATTTCGGAACTCCCATCCCTACATCCCAGGCGCATGGTTCAGGGTCTTCTGATTCTGGAACCAGTTGCAGGGCGGTGTGGCCGTCCATTGGATACACAGCATCTCCAGATGCGCAAAGGTCATGGTGAGCGCCATCCCTTGACCCTCCGCAAAGTCCAAGGTGAAGGGATTCAGCGGCATGTTGCCTGGGACACATGGGAAATTCGGTGGGGTTAGGGAATGACAAATCTGAAAAACATGTGGGTTTCTCGGAATTTCTTGGGAATCATGGCTGCCATAGTTTACGGTACATTTAGATGGGTGTGTGATGGAAACTTCGATGGTGCCCTCACCTTCAGCATTTCGGTTTGGTACAAGGGTCAAGGGCCTGATCAGCTCAAAACTTGGAAACTATTAACAGCAATGTCAATCCCGGATTAATAAACCATGGTTGATTAGAGGGGTATTCCCGTAGTCATGATTTGATATTTTTTTTATGGTACCTTCCCAATTAAACAGCCGTTTGGGGTTTATGAATCCAGGGTTGACATTACCACTTACCAGCCAAACCTCTTCCATCATTTCACTTTTCATTTGAACAGGCCCAAACCTCCTGGAGTTCTTTGTTTCCTACTCAATCGCGCGACAACTGATATACACAGAAGTGGGGCTCGCCCAAACGCAAGTCGGTGTATCACCTCATCATCTAACTATATAGATATATTCCATTCTATTCCCCGACAAACCTATGGAACCTTTTTCCTTTCGCCAACTTAGATCCCTTCAGTTTACCCTCCAGGCTGTCAGCGCCAAGCTGCCGTTGATTACCATCTTCCCCACCCGTTGGTGGAACATGTTGCCATAGGTGGCCGCCACCGCCGTGCCATATGACGCGCCTGTGCAGGAAAGGGCCCCCTGCAAGGCTTGAAGCGTGTCAACTTTGATGTATACATATACGGTCATGTATATGTACATGTATACTGGTGTGCGTATCTGTGTGTGTGTGCCACTTTTATGGTGTTTTGTGTGTTTCCCGAAAACTATTCTCAGTACCTTTTGGTCACTATAAATGTATCTCTCTCTATATATATATATGATATCTGATATCTGATATATAATATGTATATATATATATATACGTGTGTGTGATGGGCTATAAAATGGGTTGTATAATACTGACTTCGCAATCTTCGCAGATTGGCAAAATTGAACCATACATGGAATATCCCAAAGTATGTGGGCTCTATATGGGTTTCGAAATAAGCTTTACAAATCACCTAATAACTATCTAACAAAGATGCACATCCACGTACTATGATCTTTTCACAAGTGCAACACATTGGGTTTCACAGGGCTTGTGAAAGCAAGCGTTGGCTCGCTTTGCAGCTGTATTGCTCCTTCGCATTCCATTGGACACAGGCCCAAAAGGTGACCCCCGAGTTATAAGTTGATTTTATCATCCCCCCTAATTATATATATATAATTCTACCATGAATCCAATTTGCTTGCACTAGCCATGGGGCACCACTGTGTTCTAGCCAGAACGCCATTCAAGTGCATCTTGTGAGCGCAAACCCGTGTGCGGAAGAACTCGATGTCGTGCGCCAACATGCGCGTACCTTCCGAGAAAAAGTCAGCGACCATGACCAAGGACCCTCGCGGTGGTTCAATGTGGTACCCTCCAGTGATGAAACGTGGCTAGCTGGAAAATCCATGGCAACTCCGCCAGAAAAATATGGGTAAGGTACCATATTCTAGGAGTGCAACGTCCCACGTTAAATTACATCATATACGTCCATATAATTTGCCAGTTCTTCCCTTCTCTGTAGTCCAAGTTTGCTCCGAACATACCTCCCAGCCATCCTCCTATAGCGTCAGCATCCCATCAGCCCATGGCAGTGCCCTGTGCACCTGAAAACTCCAAGAAGTTGAAGCTCTTGTTCCGCGGCCCCGTCAAGATCCACTTGGGCGAGGCCGCGCATCTCCTCACGGCGCAACGGCGATATGCATCCGGGAGGCCGTTGAGCCTTCATGAAAAGAACACATGGAGAATCCATGTGGGAATCCCTGGGAAGTGATCTATAGTCTATAAATCATGGATTTTGCTGTTGAGGTTTGATATCTAAGGTGAAATTAGTGTTGCCAGAACAAAAATATATAAGGTTTTTGAGTTTTTGACCAGCAGAATTCAAGGGATAAATATGAGATATATATTGAGATATTATGTAAGTAACAAATGATAGGGAACCTGTAGATTCACCACTCTGGTAAGCAATCATGACCTGCAGCTTTCCCAATCAAAACCGAACACATTACTTCGATGTCTATCCAATCTTCCCCCCATCCAATGCGTCAATGGATGGGTCAAGAGAGAGACACACGGGGACGTTAGGGTTTTCCACAAGATTTAGGGGTCAAAAATGATGAAATCTGCAATTTTCCTTCTGAAGTCTGGGAACCCCATTCTTACTTGCACTCTCCGATCCCCACTCTCATCCCTCACCCCGACGATTCTCAGCATCATCCTCATCATCCAAACCTACAGTAAAGTATGACATGTCAAAACCAAAAAGAACACTCAACTCCAACATACCTCGAAGATCATCTGGGCTCAAGCCATAGCCATAGCCATGCTCTCCTGGACCTCAGAGTCATCTTGCTGAGATGGTTCTCCACCTCGGAGCCGTTCAGTGGATCGATGGCCACAAAGGATTGGCCCACCAGCGCTGTCCCATCTGGCAGAGCGCAGGGGCAATCCGTGAAATCCGAGATCCTCGGGGCCCACGGGGTCCCAGGCTGAAGACCAGGCGACCACCAGGTGACCACCATTGGAAACAGCACAAGTTATCACTGGGAATTCCAGGATCCTAAATTGGAGGTACTGTATCTTTTATAGGCCTTATGTATGGTAGGTACCTCCAATTTAGCTTCCTGAAATGGCCATTGAAGTTAGGTTAGTTGTGGACATTTAAATTCCATGGCCCAGCTACAAGAAGACCACCTTTGTTGGATTTCATGAAGTGGAAGGGAAGCATTCCAGCTGGGATTGGAACTCTTTTTTTCGCTCAACATTGGGTTGTCAACAGCGAGTCACTGGCTTGGGATGCTCCTGGCTATCCTGGATACCACCAATCCAGCTGATGATTGAGCCAACAGGTACCCATAGATATGAAAGTCAATTGGGATCATCAGCTCACCTGAGATTGAAAGAAACACATTTGTGACACCACCAACTGCTCGACTCTATCTTTGATCGTCTAACCTGGTTATTGAGCAACGAGATTCACCACATGTTTATGTACTATATATATATATATATATATAAAACCAACCCATTCAAGTGATTATTATGAATTCCCACCATTCCCAAAACTTTCCGATAGTGTATTCAATTGACTCAATTCACTAGCTATTATACTATTAAATCAACAAGTTCCCTCAAAAACATCCAAGGTTATTTCACTTAGAAAGCATAATTCCTGATAATTTTATCTCAATTTCTCCAGTCTCCTGACTTTCCAAAGCTCTGGTAGTTTTCCCAAGGTCACCAGTCACCAAAGCATCTTAAAAATCACTCCACTAGTCATAAAATCATATTGATCCATGTTAAACCAAACTAGTTCCTTCAAAGTGCACAATTCAAGCCCTTTACCAATTACAAGTCAGGAAGTCACCTCATTTACGGAATGATAACCCCATTTACAACCAAGAAATAACTGGCTTCAGGGCCTTAACTGCAAGGCGCAGTCTCCAAGGTCACTAGCCATGAAACCAACCAATTTCCTGAAAAATCCCAGATGACTTCACTTAAAAACCACAACTTTTCCAAGACTCCGGTAGTTTTTCCGATTTTTCTCCGGCAGTTTCATGTGCTTCGCCTCACACTCGAAGCTGGGCGACGCCGCAAAGCCAATGCCACGCTGAGAGATGGACCAGGAAGCGTAGCCGCTGTACTGCGGCTCCTTGCCTGGCCATCAAAGGTTGGGGAAATAACGGGGGATTTTATTCCATGTGTACATTACTGGTTGGTGGTTTCAACCCCCCTGAAAAATAGGGAATTTAATGGGATTTAATGTGATTTCATTGGGATTTCATGGGATATATGATGGTTACCCTCTGGTAAACTAACATAGAAATGGAAAATGGCCCATTTATATATAGATGGTTTGTGATTTTCTATAGTTATGTTAGTTTACAAGAGGGTAAATATATATATATATAGATATCATGCAACCTCCAAGATATGCATATGTTCAGTCCCCGGGTGCATTTTAGGACTTTCAAATCTTATAAGTGTTCAATATAGGACGTGATTTGGGATCAAGTTCAGTGGAACAATCATTTTCATTGGGGATAAAATTGGTGTGAGTAATCCCAAGCAGGCACATGTCACAAAACTGCCAGGAATGTTGATCTATATAATTTATGCCAAATTATGGATATAGTACAATATAGTCTAGTAAATACACAAATGTTTTCGATATGTTGCATCCACTGCATTACAGTGCACACAAAAAGAAATGCAATTTGACCTCTTACAGAGTCTTTATATGTTGGGTTGGTCGAGAATTGGGGAAACGCCCACAAAACTGTCATGTGGGTACACTTTGGGTTGGTCCAAATATGCCCAAACCCCGAAATTTATTGCCATTTTAGAAGGCAACACAGGGTTCACACATCCTTATTCCGTCAAAATTGTTTGTCTTCCTCCCACTTTCCTCCAAACATCCCCAAATTCTTGGCTTGTTGGCAAATCCCCCCAAAAAATGCATAGAATTTGCCATTCAAAGTCCAACTTCCCAACTTCATCTTGAAGGATGCCCTGGGCCCTGGCCGGCCCTATGCCCCACGGCCGGCGCCATTGCCCCGGCCTTGATGCAAAACACAGGAGGCATCGCTGCCAGGTCCTCCGCAGTGGATCAGAAGTGGCTCCAACGTCGAAGCCTTGCCGAATAGAACTGAGAATGACATCATGCTAACAATAATTAGCTTTACTAATAATAAACATGGTAATGGTAATAATAATGATAATAGTATGTTTTAAGCAATATATATGTATATATATATATATATGGTACCATATATGTGTGATTGTGTGTGTGTTGAAACATATTATACACACATGTATATATATATATATAATAAATTATATTTGTTTTGTTTCCCCCCTTTTGCTGAAGGTTTGGTTTTTCTTTTGAGGCCTCTGATGTTTGTTGCTTGTCTTGTCAGATTTGGAGATTTGGCTATGGATCAAGACCCATTGACCCCCTGGTGTGAACAGGTTTGATTCATCCCCGTTGGAGTTGTGTTTCTTTCGTCTTGTCCAAACATTGACAAATGGGGTCACCAGGGTGTGTGTTTGCAAGTGGCTTTGTTGCTCCCAAAAAAACACCAATGGAACCACCAATCCTGACACTTTCCTAGATATACAGTATAGTACTATTATGTTTGGTGGGAAATGGTGGGAATGATCATCTTGAGGCATACCCACTTCAAGTACCTGGTCAACAACCATGTCTGCAATTGCTATAAGGGGGCTATGAATTAATCAGAGAGGGATGCAACTTGCATAACTGGAAAGCAGCTACGAGCAGGTCATCTGATGATCAGTCCCAACCTGAAGGCCTGGACACATGGCACCAAATGCTTGGAGGGATGATGGGATGATGGGATTGATGGGACTGATTTGTTCCCATCCGCACCTCAATCAACTTCCGAAAAAGACCTGACCTGTGAGAGGTATGTATGAATGCGACACGTCTGATGGCTAGCACTTCATTTTGTGCATGTACATCAATATATTTGCACCCCACTTGTCTTGAACAACACCTGCAAATAAAGGCGGAACCTCCGGCTTCAGGTTTTCTCTTTGAATAGCACCTGGTGGTAGTCCATCCTATCCATTCTATTTCGTAAGCGAGTCCCACACCTGCTGATAAATGGAAATAAATGGGGTAAAGGCTAGCCTACTTGTGACTCGGGATGTAGCCTACATGTTATCAGGAAATATGGATTTGTTCCACCGGGTACCTAAAAATTTCAGGGTCGCGAATATCACGCTTCCCGTGAACAATTGCCATATCACGCTTCACATGAACAATTGCCAATTATGCAATTTTCATCAATTTTCGGGGGCCGAAATCCCAATCCCCTTCTTTGGCTCAGACACATCTTCCACACTGTTGTGAATCATCATCATGACCATCAGATCGATAAAGGGTGTCTCATGCACAAAGACCTTTTTAGGATTTGATCGCGGTATTGGTGGATGAAGGTTCAACATGGTTCAGGGGGTTTGGGACTTATGGGGAGGACACATGACAGACCTTCAAAAGAATATCAAACAATCAATGATTGGAACCATCAACACATTGGAATCTCCTTGATACCTTGGATATCTGTTCCTGAAACCACGCAACTGGAAAACCATGGGAAGGGACGACCCGAGTGCCTCTTTTGACGGAATGACATACTATTGTCACTATTGTCACTACACTCATGTACCTACTAAGTCTATACCTGAGAGAGGGAGGGGGAGGGAGAGAGAGAGAGAGAGTCATCAAGGAAACAACCAACATGTTGAGACACTGCCACACCATGCCAATGGCTGGCATTCAAAGCGCCGGACTTTACAAAAACCACGGTGCTCATGGACTTTCCCATATCCAATGAGGCCCTTGCGTTGACACGCCAATCTACACAGGTTGTCACAGAAATAGTGGCTGCAGTCCGCATTTTCGTTGTGGATCATTGCGGGTCTACATGCACATACTGTAGGTATCAAACATCTGCCTACATACCTGTCCCATATAGACCATATAACTTGAGTAGAACATGGTAGAACCCCAAAATGCTTGGCCCGTTTCTGGGGCCAAAGCGGTGAGCCTCCAAATACGGTCAACCCAGGATCAATAAGCCACCAGTTTACAAATAAGGGGGGTACCAAGTTTACCACGATTAGTAAACTATGATTTTCTAAGTGTAACAATGGTACCTCATAGTTTTTGCTCCAGCAATGATTTTCTACGTTTTTCTCTGTCACATTACATTAATCACCGTTTTTTCGGGGTAAACTGCCGGATCCTTGGTCAGGTCAACAGAGTTGAATACTCCGGGCTGAACCATATCTGAATGGATGTTTGTTGAAGGGAAAATCTGAAGGAAACCCATGGTTATTTACTTTGACCCTCAAACCCTGCAAATGTTCCCCTTCAAAAGTAATGAAAAACCTGGCACTCCAATGATCATCTAATCAAAACCTTGGGACATCTTGGGACCCTAAGAATTAAGATACCTGGTTGATTCGATGCTTAATTCCCTACCCTCAGATAGCTGGTTGATGTTGAATTCCCAGCCAGTCATCTGGTGCTAACTTGACCCATCCGCCGCCGTGGCGCTGTTACCTTGCCTATCTTCTTGGTGTGGCTCCACCTCAGACCTTTCTTGGGATGAAGCACATCGCAGCGCCTCGGACACGGCAATTGGGCCTGAAAAAAGTGGCTGATTTCTATGGTTCATGGTAGATGTAACTATAGTTTAATGGGGTGTGTAAACCAACTTATAACTGGGGAAATTGACACAGAATTGACACCATTTGGCAATGTATTTGTTAAGCCGCAAATACTGGGATGTCACTGGTTTAAGCAACAACACTTTGGATTTTGAACTATCAAGCAAGCATCGGGATTTAAGTGGCACAAATGGGAAACTGGACAAGCCGTCCCAAATCGAACATTTCAATGGGCCAAATCGGTATTCATCCGGTTTTCATGGGACATTTCCCATTGTTAGATCTTGAAGATATGGTGAAACATCAGCTGCTAAAGGAGATTTTCCGAGAATTCTTCAGAAGGGGTGATCATTTTTCAGAGGTCCAGATACTCAAAAGACATACTAGTAACATACAATTCACTTTCTATTGATTCAATCCAATCAAATTTCCATCCCAGCCAAAGTGTGCCACATCCAACAGTTATCTATCTATTCTATATATATATATATATATATCTACCAGTGGAACCAAGAACCTATGAAATCGTAGGGTCATTCGATTTTAGCTTCGCTAGGTATCTTAACGCCATCCCATGTTGCAGGTCCCAGCTTGGCTTCCAGGCTGTGACCCGCTCTCCAGCAAGGTCTGCAGCGAACTCAACTCATCGCAGCTCGATGCGGACGAAGTTCCGGACGCGAAGAAGCCGAAGCCGAGGCCGGCTGCGGCCAGCAGGCGGAAACACCTGGGCTGCAGGTGGGTACGGCTTATACTTAGGTTCCTTGCATCAGCACTACTTAACATGATTTTCGGTCTATCTATCATCACTACTTAAAATCCCACATTCGTGGCCAGTTTGATGATCTTTGATGAGAACCTTTGGATGATTAAGATGACCAGTAAAGCATGGTGACGACCTGGCATTCAACCGATTGCAAAGCATAGGTCCATCAGTGATCATCAGCCCGGGTCGGGATAAAACCCACGCAACATATTTTGAAAAACAGGAACCAGTACACTGTACACCCTCTGAACTGTCAATTCCAGCCATGTCTAGCCCGCCTCGGCAAAGCATTCAGCATCAGTCAGCCGCCGGCTGCGTGGGTTTCCCCCACTTCAAATGGCTGCGCGGAAGCAGTGGGGTCCCTGAAGGCCTACAGAAACCCAAACATCGCAAACTAAAGCTGCAAGCCGATGACGAGAACATACTCAAAAAATTGGGCCAAGAATGAGTAATTGGCACGAACAACTCCAGCCCCGCAATCCAGTGCTCACTCATGCAAGGATCATCCCTTCCAAGGCAAAGTTGAGACACGAATCTATTTGGAGGATCACCAAATAACAGGTGAAAACAAATCCCCGCGTTCATGGGCTAAATTTGCGCTATGAACAAAGTGAAGGGCCACTCAAGAGGATCCTCCTGTGCGCAGCGTCCCTTTTTTGAGCCACAGCGAAACATCAGAGGTCTTCAATGGTCATCACCAGGACACAAGAAGTGGCTGAAACGGCAATCCTGTCCATTTTGGCACTTCCCCAGCGAGTAGAACTTGCACAAGATGCCTGGGAGGCAATCTCAAAGCTGAAACCGATAAAATCTGGTCTTTGAGGCCCCAAACCATGTGATAAAAACGAAGAATAGTCCATATCAGATGCAATCGTTTTGGTAGACAGGGGCTTGTCGCTGAGAACAACATGGCAAAAAAATGCAAAAAAATCAAACTGATTCACGAAAACCACCCAGATACTGTCACTCTTCTGTGGCAATCTCAACTCGTGAGGACCGTGAGCATAGGTGCAGTCAGCACCAAACGGGCACTCCCCATGCTGCCAGTGCCAGCACAGCACCGTACGAAACTTGGGATCTTGCGACAAAGAGCTGCGACCGAGGGTGGCTCGAGCGGTAGGGCCACATCCGGTGTGCAACCGAAAGGAGAGATCGAGGTATTCGCCAGTGCTGGACACAAAAGGAAGGGTCCTAGTCAACAAATACATCAGACCCTCCATCTTCAAGTCATCTGGGGCCTGAAAGGTAAACGAAGCTCCACATGTTTCACTTTGCCAGACATTTTGGAAGGCTAGCTCTATGTCATAGTAACTTCTAATCATCTTGGAAATCTGCACGAAATCATCCTGGGACAGTGACAGCAACACACCGGAAGCACCGCAAACGTCCATCGCCACAGAGGTCTCTGGGAGCACAGTGCAACTGCACATCCCGACAAGACCATTTTCCAATGGAGGAAGCAGGTCGCACCAGGCCATCTGCAAAAAACTGCCTCCGGCTGGTGGTTTCGACATGTTTCGACTTGTTTCAACGCTCTGGAAGTTCCTTACATAAACGCCAAAAAAATAAAGGACCGGATAACCCCACAAGTCAACTTCTTCCAGTAAACGGAAACAAAAGTTGAAGCAGGACGGAGAAGGAAGGAAAGACAAAGGAGGTGGTGGAGGATCGTATGTGAAGAGTTGTGTGTGATAAAGCTGTGTGTGTGAAAGATGTGTGTGACAAAATCATGTGTGTGAAAAATTGTGTGTGTGACGAAGTTGTGTGTGTGTGTCAAAGATTGTCTGTGACAAACTAGCCTCCCACTTGACGCAGCCTGAGCACATTGCACATTGCTTAGTACTCGCCTCTTCCCGCAACCGCACCCCCGGCCAACGAGGTGACAAACGACATCACGTCGGTCTGCTCGGTGCAGGAAATGCGCCACCATGCCAGCCCAGTGTCATAAGTGCCACGCATGCCACGCAAATGCTACGTCCACGTCGCCAAGTGCCACACCTGCCACGGAAATGCTACGTCCATGTCGCCGAGTGCCACCCCTGCCACGCAAAGTGTGCGACAAAGTTGTGTGTGAAAGATGGCGTGTGACAAAGTTGTGTGTGAAAGATGGCGTGTGACAAAGTTGTGTGTGAAATATGGTGTGTGTGTGTGACAAAGTTGTGCGTGAAAGATCGTGTGTGACCAAGCTGTTTGTAAAAGATCGTGTGTGACAAAGAGGTGTGTGACAAAGTTGTGTGCGAAAGATGGTGTGTGTGTGACAAAGAGGTGTGTGACAAAGTTGTGTGTAAAAGATAGTGTGTGACAAAGAGGTGTGCGAAAGATGGTGTGTGACAAAGTTGTGTGTGAAAGATGGTGTGTGACAAAGTTGTGTGTGTGTCAGGGAGGCGGCGGAGAGGGAGGAGGACGAGGAGGAGGAGGAGGAGGAGCGGGATACAGAATCAAAAACAAGAACCCCACACAAAGATGTGGGGAACTATGGATTGGTCAAGTGAGATCATCATTCCATTTGCTGAATGAAGAACCAAACATATCGGAAGCCATCGGCCTCTTTTATTGGCGATAACTATACCTATCATAAGCACACTATCTAAAAATGTTTGGTAACCCTGGCGTTTGTTGGTAAAATCCCCGTTTGTCTTGCAATGTTTTTTTTTGCCTCCTTGAAAGCATCAACCAGGCCTATCCGTCGTCCTCCTTCCATGTCCCTCACCTGAAAACACCAGTCGCACCAGTCACTTTCAGTGAGACCTTCTTCAAACAGTTTCAGGTCCAAACGAAGGCTGAATCTGAAAGTTTGGGCCCACTCCAACATGTCGGTCCGACCTTGGTCGAGGATAGCACTCAACAAAGACTCTGCCATGGGGCTTGAAAGACAAACTACTGCCTCCTCTAAATACTGGTGAACCGTAGTACTTAGGGTCTATCTTAGTTGGGAGGTGGTAGATTGCGTTTATCCTTCCAATACCCCAAAAAAACTTTTTTTTCAGCTGCATGGCTATAATGTCAACCCAGGACTGATAAACCACCAGCCCACTTATAAGGGGGTACCACATCCGGGGTTGATATTACTATCCCAAGCATATCATCTTCTTATTCTCAGAGCCGACCTTTTTGGCCTGGTGTGCGGGGACTTAACCCCAACAAAAATCATCGGTCATTTACCATAGCTATGGAGAATCACAACAATTAAGAGCTGAATCATCTATGGATAACTCATGAATTCCAAAAATTCCATAGCTATGTGAAATGACCGGATGGCAATCCCCATCCAGCGACTGGCAAAAGCATTGGTCCTAAGATCTACTTTGGCCATGGGCGGTCCCAGCGCCACTGTCCTGCTGGAATCCTCTTGAGCCGGCTTCGGCCGCGGAGACTCCATGGAGACTCCAAGAAAAAGAGGCAAGGTCAACAAAGAAGAACTCTGACACAACACACACACACACGTATATGAATATTATTATATTATACACATACATAAAATATCAATAAATATAGGTTTTTGAATCCTGTACTCATAGATCTATTAATTGTGTGTGTGGGATTTTGCATGTTGATCCATCCCCCACTGCACCCACGCAGGCACAACGCCAAAGACATGGCAGGAATACGAAGTTCCTGGGCCCGGAATCAGAGGCGGCTGGGAATGGGCCTGCTATTCGCACCAGTATAGCAAACTTGGTGGATCAATGAAAACCAAGTAACATGAACATAGAAGACCAACTTTTGGTGGAGTTAAACCCCTATTTAGGAGGACAAAATCCCCATTTATAATTTATAGTGTTCCATGCTTTTTCCCATTAAAGAATGGCAACGTTCAATTCATCCAATCCATGCAAAGCTTGGATTTGCCTAAGGGGCCGGACAAAATCATATTCATCAATATATTTCTTCTAGATTCCCAAAATCAGTGGGTTTTCCATAGACACACACTCAATATATATATATAAATAAATATCTATGCAACCAAAGAAAACATACCGGTTTTTGTGCTTCCAGGATGGTATGCGACCATCATATTTGCCTCATAGTTCCAGGTCGCTCTTGGTGATGGCTGACGGGTTGCTATAGCCCATTATCTATCTATCTATCTAATCTAATCTCATCTTATCTCATCTCATCTAATCTATCTATCTAATCTAATCTAAATCTAACCTAATCTGTTCTAATCTAATCTAATCTAATCAATCAATCAATCTATCTATCTATCTATCTATCTACCTACCTCTCTCTCTATCTATCCATCTACCTATCTACCTATCCACCTATCCACCTATCTACCTATCTACCTATCTATCTATCTATCGATCTATCGATCGATCGATCTATCTATCTATCTATCTCTCTATCTCTCTATCTTTCTATTTATCTATCCATCCATCCATCCATCCATCTATCTATCTATCTACGCATCTATCTATCAGATCAATCAATCAATCAATCTACCAATCTATCTATCTATCTACCTGCCTATCTATCTATCTATCTATCTAATCTAACCTATTGTATTTATCTATCCCTCTCTCTCCCTCTATCTATCTGCCCACCTATCTATCTATCTATCTATCTATCTATCAATCTATATCTCCATCTATCTATGTATCTATCTATCTCTCTATCTCTCTCTCTGTCTATCTATCAATCTATCGTATCTATCTATCAATCAATCCATCTATATATCTATCTATCCATCTATCCATCTATCCATCTACCTACCGTATCCATCAATCAATCTATCTATTTACCTATCTATCTATCTATCTTATCTAATCTAATCTATCTAATCTATCTAATCTATCTATCTAATCTAATCTAATCTAAATCTAATCTATTCTAACCTTATCTAATCTATCAATCAATCAATCTATCTATCTACCTACCTATCTATCTATTTATCTATCTATCTAGCTAATCTATTCTATTCTAATCTAATCTAATCTAACCTAATCTAATCTAATCTATCAATCTATCTATCTACCCTTCTACCTATCTATCTATCTATCTATCTATCTATCTATCTATCATCCATCTATCTATCTACCTACCTACCTATCTATCTCTCTATCTATTTATCTATCTATCTACCTACCTATCTATCGATCGATCTATCGATCGATCGATCTATCTATCTGTCTAATCTATTCTATTCTATTCTATTCTATTCTATTCTATCTTATCTATCTATCTATCAATCTATCTACCTATCTATCGATCTACCGATCTATCTTTCTATCTATCTATCGGTATCGATCTATCTTTCTATCTTTCTATCTATCTATCTATCTCTCTATCTATTTATCT